ATAATGTTAATTGTATTTATATCGTTTAGATGATCAATTTATTTTCCTTGGATAAAACTAAATCACTAATTAACATGGATTTTATAATGTAATTAGTTAACTGATTTACTTTTCTAATCCCTATATTTATGATTAAATGACAACAACAATCAAAAAGCACCAAACAAAAAACCGGCTAATTTGAAATTAACTTTTCTGTCCAGGTAAACTTTTCTTTCGGCCTAAATAACAATATAATTGTTGATTATAATTATATACTGTTAATGATTTTCTGGTTTTTGTAGTTTATTGATTGTTGTAATACAATATCCAAGCAGATACATGATGATGATGATGGTTAATCATGATGATAGTAACAGATCTCAATGAATTTCTTTCGGAATTCAGGAAGCTTCAATCACCGACGCCCTGTTTATCTATTTTACTTTTCTGTTTTAATCATCATTTTAATCACAATAATCATAATGATGATTAACAATAATCCGGGAATTTGAGATGAAATTAAATGAAAAACATGGTAAAATATATACGATGAGTTTCATATTCAACACAATCAACGAAATGAAAGACAAATGGAAACTGATAATCTGAGTGACTTGATTAACAGTTTGGTGATTATTATTATCATAATAATCATCATGATAATAATGAGCTTTAATGATTATCACCATTAACATGGATTGAAATGACAATACAAATCAGGAACAATTGGTCAGTCCAACAATTAAAATGATCATCAAAAAGTAACAACAATCATTTACTTTCAGTGATCAACCAGATTCAAATTGTTCACAATAATTACTTTTGATTGTTAATAGTAAAATAAATCATCGTCTCATCGCATTTATTTAATCAACTACGTAATCAAATTAAGGTAAATGTCAAGTAACCATCTTATTTAAATTGTTGATTAGTGACATTGATTAGTTAGCATCCAATTTGAATCAATTACAAATTAATCAGAAAAACCAAAGTTAATCATGTTACTTTTCAATCAATATGGATTTGATTTTCCTCCTTTAATTACAATTGATTATCTCAAATTTCATGTTACTTTAATTACAATCAAATTTTGTCTATGTTGATTAACAATTATAACTAAATTATCCAGTTGATAGTATTCAATACATGAGTTGAATTGAAAAAACAATCAAAGTTAATCATTGATGTTTATTGCTAATCAGATACATATTAGATTTGACCGTTAAATTGAATGATAGATAATCAATTAACTATATTACAATTTACTAATTTTTTTATCATTCGAGTAACAATTTAAAAGTTGTAATTAGGCTCTATTAAATTGTAAGAATTTCAATAAAAGTTAAATATTGCAAATTTCACTTCAACTTGATCAATTAACCATGAAAAGTTTATATTGTCTTTTTGATTACAATTTACTGATTACCTTTGATTGTTGCCTTTTGTTTTTCATTATCAATACGTTGAAAACTAATCAACAAATTAACCACTCGATCAATTTAACCTTTAATTTCATTAGTTGATCAGGTTATTGATAATAATATAAAGATACACAATCACAATCACATACAGATTATTACACTTAATTTGTGATTAATCTTGATTATCTTAATTTACCTTTCAATCAACAGGGTTAAACCGATACATCAACTGCTAACAACTAACGATAAAAACACTGAATTAACAATAATGACACTTTAATTGTTGGTGGTGATTCAGTGATCACCAAATTCACACAACAATCAACAACAATTAGTTGGGACATTGACAAGAGAATGAGATTGAAACAATGAACACAGAAACTAAATTAAAAAGAGAAAAATGGAAACAATTGATTAATCTTTGGGTTGATTAGACAATTAAAATGAGAATTTGAATCAATTTTTCTGCTAATTGCTAATCCAATATTCGTATACATTGTAATATTTCAATTAATTTCTAATGGAAGATATAATTGATGAAGAAAAGAAAAACAATTAAAAAACAATGTGAACAAATAGAAACCAGGTAAACATTGATAACCAAGTTTCTAACAAAATGGCGATGAAAACATTAGACACTAATGGTTGGGGAAGATGGAGAAGAGACTAGAACAAAAAAGGTAAATAGAAAGAGCAAAATGAAAGAGAAAAGGTTAAAATTATCATCTCTTTCATTTTTCTCTTTCTCTCATCATCTTTATCTTCTTCCTCTCCATCTCTAACTAATGATTAACTACTGTGATTAACTGAAGACGCCAGAGGTACATAGAGAGAGAGAGAGAGAGAGAGCTAACGAAAACCTTTCAGCAAAACATTTGGTCATCTTTCTGGTCTTCAATTTTACCAATGACCAATCCAAGAGGAGAGAAATGACCAAAGGTAAGTGACCATCATCTTTAACTTGTCCCACATCCTCATTCTCATCACCTTTACCCCTAAGGCAAAGTAAAACGGATACTCTTTGTATTATATTTATCTCTGTATACGAAATTACATATCTTTTGCTATTCCAATACAAGAACGAGACTTTTTTTTTCACCAATTTGAGTGCTAAATTATTTCCTTGACCAATCAAACAACAGTTAGATGGTCAAACTTTTTGTTTTCACATTCGAAAAAAAAAACTTTCGTCTCTTCTTCTTGACCACATTGACCATCTCTAGAATCATCTAAACACATCAAATATCATCAACATTTTCCAGTTATTTTCCACTTTCCATACTGGTCAAGTGTTTCTAATTGTGTCCACCAAAGTGATCAAATGAATGAGCAAACAATCAAATCAATTGGATACCATAAAAGACAAGTAAGTAATCATTTATTTTTAATTATCTAAGTCTAATCAACAATAGACTAACTGATTAACATTGGACATTATTGTGAGTTGATTGTTTACAATTTAATCTAAATCACAGTCTTCAGTTTTCAGGTGTATATATATATGATTAATGAACAATTTAATTGGTACAATGGAATTGAATAAGATAAATCAGCAGGGGAATTGAATTAATAGGAAGATTTTATCAATAATAATAATAGAATTGGAATTGATTGATTGAGTTGATTGAGAAGACGATGAAAAGAAATAAGAATCGAATCTAATTGAAAGAAGAAACAAAAACAATTCCGTAATCATTTTTGATTAGTTTATTTCCGAATGTCATAATTAAGAATCACAATTAACTGATCAACAGCCAAGGGCAAGAAAAAGACAAGAAAATTACATAGAAACTATTATGTATTCGGATAACATGTAACAATCGGAATATTTTATATTATGCAAACAATAAGAAGTTCAGATTTGAAGGTGAAAACTGTGAAATTAACTGAATCACCATGAAGATTATTATTACACCGGGAAGTCCAATTTTCTATTATTCCTAAATTCCTGTAATCATAATTCATTGTTTCATCCTTGATTCATATTCCATCAACAGATGAATTAATTGTTATCTGATTGTGTTATTGTTAATTGATACACTCATGTAATATTAGAGATACGAATCACCATGATATCACAAAGATCTTTCATTTTCCACTGGTGACAATTAGTTGATTGTCTATTCTTAATTGTTTACTACTGGATTTATTTTTCTCTACATAAGTTAACAACATGATCTCTCCATTGATTGAGGTAAAATTAGATTTTCATGATTAACACTTTAATTTAATTGTTTTCCATTGTAGGTAATCATTTATATTTATTACGTTTTGATGACAAATTTTTTTTTTCTCATTGATTTGATTAATGATTTAATTGTCATCATATTTTTGTGTATTTATAATAATCTCTTTGGGTATTCACATTAATTACTATTCATTGATGATATCTGTTAATTCATTGAGATCAATTAATTATGTAACTTTTAGAGGCTTGAACAAAGTACCTTGATGATTATCAACTTTTTCATTGACAATTAAGATGATTTTTTAGCTTTTTGTTTGGTGTTTTCTCTGTGTTAATTGTTTACTAATTTAGTTTCTGATGTTTCGCTGATTCTTTCGTGTCTTGATTAGTGTTGACTCCAATAATCAAGTTCATTTAGAGCTATTAGTTAATTAACCATTTAACACACTTGATTGAAACCATAGCTGAATAAATAAAATCGAGAACTTTGAACCGAACAGTGACCTGATCAATTAATTAACTTGATTGGAATTAGTTAAAAGACGAATCATTAATTAATCTTCATCTTGATTATCATCATGATCAATTTCATCGATTCAGAACTTTTTTTTCTCCAAGAATTTTAGACTCGAACACAATTTATTCTCTTTCTATTTTATCAGCTCTCTCTCTCTCTCTTTCATTTTCACTCTCCTTTTCATCATTCTCTTCTCCCTCTCTATCATTATTTTCATCATCATCATTATCTCCCTCATTCTAACTCCCTCTACCTTGACAGTTTTAGACTCTCTCTCTCTCTCTCTCTCTCTCTCTCTCTCTTCCCTCTTCTCTCCGCCTCTCTTTCTCTCTCTTCTTTCAGCTCTTTCTTTTTTCACTGTGACACCTTTAAATTTGTGAAAAGAGAGTATGAAGATAAGAAAGAGAGGAAAAGAAAGAAAGAAAGAAAGAGAGACAAGTGAGAAGATGAATGAGTGTTATATTCTCCCTCAGCTCCTTCTCTCTCTCAAAAAACTTGTTGAAGTAAATTGTTTGTGAAAGAATTGAAAGAATCAAGTAGCAAAGTGAATTCAATCATTTCTAAACAACTAAACCATCAACAACAATCATTAGAATCACAATTAAACATAAAAAACTTTTTCTTCTTTTAATTTTGTTACAAAGAGAAATAGAATTAACCTAAGAAGATTAACATCTCTCTCTCTCTTCATCTTCCTCCTTCTCTTCCTTCATATTCTCTCTCGTTCTCTCTCTCTCTACTCTCATCTTCATTCCCATGGACTTTTTAACCCACAGTCAATCTATTCTTACCTTCACTTCATCGTTATCTTCATCATCCTCATCATCTTTTTCCAATCAACTGTTACCTTGTTATTTAATTTCCATCGACAATCAACTTTAAAGCCAAATAATTGTGATCCTCAAATTGATCAAGTTCCTTGTGCAATTAATTAAACTTTTTGCTTTCGTTTTCACATCTTGTCACCCAAACAATCAAGTTCAATTTCGTCCTGTTAATCTTAATGACCACCGATTAGTTTATCAATCATTTTGTTTTTCTTTCCAATTCTAACTATTATATATATAACTGTTTCTCTTTTATCTTTCACAATTAGACAAATTGTTAATTATCAACACAATTAAGATGAAATATCGAGACCACGATTTGAGTCTATCAGCATCACGGATACGTTCAAGTAACACCAACAAACCAACAACTCAATTGGAAATGTGTTCAATTGATAAAGTTTTATCATCTACTGTCACCAGTAACAATCATCAAAGTAAATCAACTAATTACATCAATAATAACAATCATCTAATTGTTACTCATAATAACAATACCATTAATGGTAACAATCATGGACAATTACCTTTATCACTTGATGAGGATGAAACTGAAAAGTTAAAATCAAAGTTAACTAAACTTTCAAAAAGTGCTAAAAGTTTAGATTCAATGAGTGAAGAGGGTATTGGTTCAACCGATGGTGAAATTGTCTCATGTTGCTCATCCCTTTCATGTTCATCAACCTCAGTTGCAGGTATTGAAACCGGAAGTTCATTCGGGTATGGGTCACTTCAAGCCAGTTCAGTATCACCATCACCCCGGTCAGTTACACCTTCATCTAGACCCGAATCACGAACTGAATTAGTTTCCAATTATGGTTCAAGAAAAAGTTACCATGTAACAAGTGAAGGTATTTCCACTGGTCACATTGATAAAGGTGGTGGAAGAATTGTTGAAAATGATACAACAGTAATACTCTGTGGCACAGGTAGTGATGACGATGATGATGATGATGTCGACGATGGTGTCAGTAGTCAAGGTGATAGAGTTGAAAGTAAACCCGTTGAAAAAGTTTCAAAAGGTAAACAGGAAACAGGTAAATGTTTTCCCTCCACTTCAACTGCATCTTCATCCAATATCACTGATAAATGGGAATCAAATAAGGTCTCATCACCTTCTGACCATGATAACCAATACTGGACAAGACAGAGACCAAAGGTCAATATCAGGTAAATATAACCTTTTTTTTGTTGTTATTGTTGTTCCAACTTTAACCCCTTTTTAGTGTCTTAAAGGACCGGTTATAATCCTAAACTTTCATCTTTTACTTATCTTCATCTTCATTTTCTTCTTACTCCTTCAACCTTTTACCTTCATTTTCCTTTCACCTTTGCCATTCATTGATCATGTTTTCATTCAAGATGATGAGTAAAAAAAAAAGTTTTTTCAATCAACTTTTTCAAGGGAAAAACCCGTTAACACAATTTCATCATTTCTCCAAGATTTTAACCTTTTCCACCTTGTTGACTGATGAATTTTCACTAATTAGGAATCACCACCCACTTTTCACCTTCCTTGTTTATTTATCATCATTAGAATCACCTCTCTCTCTCTCTCTCTCTCTCTCCTCTCTCTCTCTCTCTTCCTCTTCCTTTCAGCTTTTCCAGTCTTGATTTAATTTCAATAATCAATAAGAATCAAATACTAAACCAAATTCGTTACATGATATCTCCTGTTTCTCATTTGTCATTCAATATTCTTAAAACTTTTAGCTCCTATTTTTCACCAGGAGAATCAATTTTCACAATTAACTCAACTAATTGCAATTTAATATTAGCATTTAAATTAACTGTAGCAATCAGCCAGTCAGTTAGTTAGTCAGTCAGGTAAATGTTTGTAAAGGTAGGAAGAGGTGGCAGACAAAACAACAAGCACCCACCCGAACATACGAACAGCCAAAAAAATTCTGGTTACTATTTTTTTCTGGTTCAAATGTATCATTGACTCCAAGAGAAAACCCATTTATAATCATATTAACCATGGGATTAACTTTTTCCCTAAGGGCAAAAACTTAATCTCCTAGACCGATAATCTTTTCATACTTTTTTCCTCAAGTATCGAGACAAAATTTCACAAATTCTGTCAACAACTTTTTCAACATTAATCTAATCCAGGGTAAGGATGTTAATTAAAAAAGCGCCAAAACCAACTAATCTATTCTGGTGTTTGATTGTTAATTCATCTTTTTAAAATGTAATCAATTAATTATATATTTTAGAAAGTTATTAAATTATTAGCAATTTAAAAAAACAAACAGATTAACAGTTATTATTATAACTCGTTAACTTTTTTTTTCTTAATTTTCATTAAACATGATTAGTTAATCACTATTCAATTAGATTATATTTAGATTTGGACTTTAACTTATTATTAAATTATTGAGAAAAAAAAGGTTAACTGTTAACACTTATTAACTAATTAAGAACCTTAATTAATCCTTATTATTATAGTAATTATTGTAATTGTTATTACCATTATATCACTTGATTATGAACACTAAATGGATCTGATTAAGATTGAATTGATTGTTAAAATTTAATCAACAAGTTAATAAAAAGTGATCAATCATCAATACGACAATATCAAAGATATTGGAAAATTAGAATTGCGAAATTTTAATTGATTAATTAGCTAATTTATATTTAAACTTATTAATTAACGGGAGGAAAGGAAAATGTTGATTCCAGATCAATACATATATGTACTAATTTTAATTAACTAATTAACATGTTAATCGTTACTATGGTTGATTTAAGGAGATTTGGATTTTACAATTGGTTGATCCATGAAAAAGGTTTTAATTATTTCAATTAACAGAAACATGGAGATTGAGAGGGATAACAAGATGATTAGTTAATTGTAAGGTAATCTAATCGTCATCATTGTCATAATGTACAGATTATGTTCAAGTAAATCTAATCAATTGAACTCAATTTGTATTACTAATTGATTATCATTCAGCCTTAATCCCTGTTTACCTTTAATTTGTCGTTGAATTATTATTAATAATATTATTTAATATAACGGTTTACCTTTCATTTGTTAATTAACCATAATGTAATCATATTGATGATGAAAATGAAGATAAAACCTCAGTCCTATGTCACTCTCTCACTAATTCACATCTTCATCTTCATCTTCATCTTCATCTTCATCTCTCTCTCTCTCTCTTCCTGGTTGTTTCACTGATCATATGGCAAAAACCCATGATCTCATTCACAACTATCCATTTACACATTTAACCTGAAAAATGAAATTCAATTTTTCACTTACAATTAACTAAACTATTGCAATAATATAAAACAACAACAATTTATCTGAAAGCTTGTGATTTAATCATCACACCATTACGAGCAAACAAACAAACATCATCATCGAAACCTTATATCAATAGCAATCAAGACAAATGAATGACAGTCATTCGCATGTCCTGGTTATTTTCAAATTGATTTGATTGTACAATTAACAGTTTTCAGAAATGATTCACATTTTGATTATGGTGACGATCATGATGATGCGGTTGTTGTTGTTTTTTTGTCAAGTTTTTCGATTCTTATGATGAATTCATCATAACATATTAATCAATAGTTGTAATAAATGATACAAGTTGTTGTCGAGCGAAAAAAATGAAAATTCATCAACAGAATTGAAGGGAAACTTCATTAAGAAAAAAAAAGAGATTCTGATTTCATTTGGAAAAACTTTTTCTTTTCTTTTCTTTTTTCGCAAACTAATTGAAACTTTTTCAATCTTTTTCTCTACTTTTCCCATTTAATTTACCATTTGATTGCTTTAGATTTTTTCTTTCCCGATTATTACAATTAAAATCAACATGCTTACCTTTTAATGAAAATAAATTGTACTACATTTACTATTAATCATCGTCATCATCATCATCAACACCAACATACAAACAACTTTGACAAACAGTTTTCAATGAGATACTTGACTTGAAAAAGGTCAGGTTATAAAACTAAAGACAAGGTAATCAAAAGTTCATGATTAAATTGTTGATTATTGTAATAATCAGTTAATGATAATCAAAAGTTAATCAATGTTGTGGTTTTGCTGTTTTATTTGTTTTCATGTCTTTTTTATCAATCTACTTGTTGATATTGATGATGATGATGATTCCAATGATTTAAACTCCACATCCCAAGGATATTCACGTTGATTAGGTGATTATGGTTTGTTAATCACCAAGAAAATTGTCAGTTTGAGGAAATTGAATCAATATGTTGATTTTTAGCTCTCTCTCTCTCTCATCTTGTTAGTTAATTAAACTTTACTTACCTGTTTACTATTTGTTGTATATTTAAATCATCATAATCATCATCATCTGAAGATCAGTATTGTTAATGTACTTTGATTGTTATTAACTTTCCGACTGGATCATAATTAGTTGCTAATGTATATTAACCTTGAGCTTGATTGTTTTGTCTATAATATTAATTTTGATTATCATCATCATCGTTTTTTTTTTGATTGTTTGTTTATTTGTTATCCAAATTGTTACAATCAAAAATGTTTTTGATTGTTTAACCTAATAAACAATCAACAATTAAACTTTCCAATCTCTGTCCATTTAAAATCACACCACAATTCATTTGTATTACCAATAAACCTCATTGACTTTTTCTTAAACATATCGATAATTGTTGATTTTTGTTGATTTACTTTTGATAATTATGTCATGATGATTAGTTAATTAATTGATTGACAATCTTTTAAAATTACCCTGGAAAAGTTTTCTACTAATCATATTAATGTTATAATTACATGAGATTAGTATTGCAAAAAACAAAAATTAACCTTAATCTCAATGATTTAGTTAATGGTTTATATTTAAATTGTAAACTAATCATGATTTAAGATCATTAGTTTTTTTTTGTATACAACAATTTACTGATTGTTATATGAATGATTTTTAATTTAACTAAAATAACAGTTTACCAACTTGACAATGTTATTAATAAATTATGCTATTTTTTATGATTAATGATGATTTAAATTGTTAGGAACCTTATTGATTGTTGCTTTAAATAGATTTTCAAATCGAAACTTTTATCGTAACGAAAAAGTTTCTAACTAAATATTAATAGTTATAAACTTTACAATTACTAAAAATAATAGGAATCAAATATAATATATGATTAGAAATTTATTATTGGTAATCACAAATATACATTATTTATATCGTCACAATTAACAATTTAGTAAATCATCTTGAATTTCAAGGTTAACGGACAATTAATAGTAAAAAAAAAGGTTAAATTATGATTACAATTATACTTTAAAGTGAATCTATTTTACAACAATTTATTTTAATAGTGAAAACTGATTAAACGTTAATGATTAGTTTAATTGTAATATAACTAAATTTTATTATCAATTGTTAATTACAATTAAACTTTTGATAGTTGACATTTAGAAGGTCAATTTTTTCAGCTTTTCAATACAATCAACACATATATTAGATTGTTTGAGTTAATTGTGATGATAATGATGATTATTGTGATCCATTTTAGTTAAATTTATGTATAAAACATTTGATTAACTGTCAACAGAGCAATTAACTGACACAAAATGAAAATTTAATTGCTGTTGATTAGTCAGGTATAGATGAATAGTTTGAATTAATCTAGTTTAAATTGTTATTCAAGGTTTTCCCATAGAAACTTATTTTAAATCAAATTATTCAATTGCAAATGTAAACCGAAATACAAATTAAATCAACTACCATCAGTGTTAATTGCTAATCACAAGTTGATTGCTATTATTAATAACAATCTGGATTAATTGTTACTGTCAAAAAGTCAATCGTTGGCTAGTTTTTTGCTAATATAATTAAAGCACCAAGGTCAATACCAATTTGATGTATTGATTGGATCCAATGAACAACAACAATTAAACTTTCACCAAATGATATACATTGGAAACTCTTAATTGTTGGCAAACAGTTTAATTTACTTAATCAATCAGACATTATAAACAATCCAGATCTTTTTGTCATCAATCAAATTAAACTAATTCACCTTTTTTTCAGTTGTCATCAACATTTTCATTTCTTAATCCTGAATCTTAATCTCCTCTTATCTGTCTCGTGTTCCCAATTATCATCATCTTCAATTTAATTATCTTCCTGTTTTCCTCTTCCTCTAATTGTTTGCAATTCTAATTAGTTAATCACTTTAATATTCTAATCAAATTTTCTCTCTCTCTCTTTTTGTCGATTATTATTTCTTATTAAACTCCAAGTAAAACGAACGAAATTTTCAACGGAATCTTAGCCCAACCTTTATGTTCATTGGAAAAAGATTTAATTCTTTGCCCTGGTTCCAGGATTCCACTTCGTCGATACACTTCAGAACTTAACCTGAGTTCATCTGTTTCCGGTTTCCTGACATGTTCAACATCATTTCAACAGTCAACTGTATCTCCATTGAGTTTATCTTCAAGAACAGATTACGATTATCTTGGTAATCCTCGTCTATCCTCAAGATTATTATCACAATCTAAACAATCATTATCTTCATTGGCATCATCATCATCACCATGTTGCTCATCAGCAGCATCAACCTCTTCCTCTTCATCACCTTCCCCTCTTCCAACAACATCCTCATTATCATTTCCCTCAACATCTTCCTATTCCCATCATCATTCATCCTCATCCTCATCATTTGCCAATCGTCGGCGTAATTCCGACCTTGATCTAGATCAGTTAGGTCGTTTCAACGATGGCTGGTTAGACGCTCGAACTGAGGAAGCATTCAAACTTTTGTCCAAAAATAAATTGAAAAACAACAACAATAAGAAAGTTGGTAAATCATCTTCATCCTCATCATCAGCCTCATCCTCTTCCTCTTCAACCACCTCATCATCATCATCATCTTTTTACACTGACCATCATTCTGATGATGGTTATTCTTCATCTTCCTCACCCGGTGGGTCATTCGGCCGTGAATCGGGATCGAAAAGCTTATATGAATTGAAGAAACTTCGCCAAAGGAAACGTAAAAATCGCATCTTATGGTCGCCAACAACACGATCACGATTACTAATCCAACGGATTAAACTCTCTAATCCAATTTCAGTTGCCATGCAATTAACCACCATAGACAAAGATCTCTATCTTCACATAAAACCCACAGAGATGTCAGCCCTAGTTCTTGGTAGACTTAAAAGATTTGTAAGTACATCCTCTCTCTCTCTCATTATCACTTCCTCTTCCGGTCAGATACAAAAAGCCAAAGGTCAACACTCATAATCATTATCAATGATTAGTAGCAATCAATTTTTTCTCAAGCTTTTTTTACCTTTGCTTTTTTAATCATCTTGATCATCATTAGTGATTATAATCACTAATCAAGGAATGAAAGTAAATTAATTGTTTGTATGAATTTGTTGGAAAAACAATTAACAAATTGAGATTTAATCAACTAATCAACGTTTTTTTGTGTGTTAATTATCCAATCAAAGGTTTCAAAATCAATTGATTCTCAACTGATTTACTATTCTGAAACAATTAGAAATCTAAATTGTTTCATCTAATTAATCATGTAAATCCATTGTTTTTATTTTAATTATTAGGTCAATTTGTCTCGAGTAATTAAAGTTATTACAATTTAGATTGAATAATTACTAAGAGTAAACTAAAATGATTAGTTTGATCAGTCCGGTCAATTTGATTGATTATAATTGAATCACAATTAAGCCTTAATTTATTTATTGTTGATTGATTTTCACTCAGCTTATTTTTAATGATTAAATAATGATTTAATTGTGATTTTAGACAATAACAATCTAATTAGGACAATATTGACCGGAACTTAATTAACTTTTAATTATCTCAAACCATTATAATAATGATAATATCGGCTTATTGATTAGTTAATTGTTTGAATACGAAGAAGAAAAAAGTTTCAACCAAATTAGGAATTAACAATTTAACAATTTAAAGTAAATGGTTAATAAGGAAGAGGAAAAAGAAACTCAATCAAGCTCCAATAATAATACTGATCAAAAATCAATCAGTTAATCATCACAATCAAAATTAACCGATTGTGATGATTAACTGATTAATGAATAATTGGGCTGGTAATCAATAACTAATGAGTTAAAAATTAAATGACAACTAAATTAAAAGTTACAATCAATTTGTTAATCAAATCGAAAGAGAAAAACAAAATTTGATCAACAGAACATTTAATTTCTCAATTCACTTTCTAATGAACCAATTTAATTACCAATTCTAATTGTTACAATCAAATATAAATATACTTATATTTCTGGATTTAATTACTACATTTATTAATTGTTGGAACAAAAAAAATCAACAGTAAAAACAAAATTATGATTGATGAGATTGGTTTTCTAACCTTAATATGATTGTAGTAATTTAAATTGTTACTACTGATTAGTTAACCAGTTACAATCAAGATTAACAATCGATGAGTTCTGAATCTCGTTGAATAATATTATTATTAATCAAAAATCAGATTAATTAGTAAATTAAACAGTTAATTATGTTGATGATAGTTAATGATTAAGGGTCAAGGTTGTATTAATTGTTGATCTTTCTCATAATTGATAAATCAAATATTGACCTAATTTGTTTTTGATATGAAACAAAAAAATTAACTAATCATAAATGATGATGATGACAATTAATATTATACCCTTAGAGTGCCAATTGATTATGATAATCAATGATAGTCTCAATTAATGAATATAGTTGATTATGAAACAAGAAAATACTAATCAACAACAATTAGCAAACAATTGAATACACAAAATAACAACAAACTTTTTGGGCTTTACCTTTAATTATTAATCAAATATTTACCTTAAAACTAAATTACAATTAAAGTCAATTAAATCATCAAGTATCATCACAATAATCAAATACATTGTAATAATAATGATGATGATGATGAGAAAAAAAATATTCACATTGAAATGATTCAATCATAATCAAGTTGATTATCAACTATTGCCTACTCCAAGATACAAGGTCTTAATTGTTTACAGTTTGCCTTGATTAAGTCTTAATCATCATCATGATAATCACCATGATTGCCGTTAATCACTAGTGTTGTATACATAATAAAATTAACTAAATCCATTGGTGAAAATGTTTAATTGAAAGAAAGTCCTAACGATGGGAAAGCAAATTAAATTGTGAAACTTTTTCATCAAATATAAACACTGCCAATCAATTGAGAGACTGTTTAATTGTTGACAACAATTAGCAAACTAAAAGGTTAACAATTAACATGTCACAATGATTATAATGATTACGATGATGATGATGATTGGGAATCAACAGGTTACCTGATTTTTGGGAGGAGTTGTTGATGGTAAATGATAGTGATGATTAAATTACATTGTTGTCAATGTTTCTATTGTCAAACTCACCTTGATGATTTAAGATGACAATAAAGGTAATCATTTATATGAATTGTTGATGATGATTATCATTTTTTTGATCATTTTTACCTTTATTTTTAAATCTCCATCAATATCGTCACCATTTTCCCTCCATTGAGATGAAAACATTGTACCAAAAATATGAACACAATTTGTTCAAGCTCTATGTTATATTAACGTAATTAGGCCAAGGATAAATGAGATGAATAAAATTGATTGTGTTAATTGTGTGAGTGTTTTATTTGATCAATGAAGAGTCTAATCGTTGAACTTATCAAGTAAATTTCAAGTTAATTGTTTAACATTGAAAATCGTTGATTGTTGCTGATCAAATTTACTACACTTCCGTTTCTCTCTTATCAATTTCCCCTTGAAATATATCAATATATAAATATACTAAACAATCAATAGTAATATAAATGATTATGATGATAATTTGATGACAATTAAGTTTTCAACATTTTCAAAGCTGCTAATTGTAACAATCAATTTTTCAAAAAGGAAACGATTAACATGATAACAGTTACCTGTCGACACCAATAACTTGAGTGTTGAATCCTGACAACAGAAACAATTAGTTAATTATTGTAGTTTTTGATGATCAATATACCCGAAAATTTTGTGAGTAAATTAGTGTGAGAGAGAGAGACTCAATCAACAATCAAATATCTGATTCCTTGATTATTCAGTCATTAAAATGAAATTAATTCACTTTGATTGTAACAAGTTTCTCAATAACAAATGATGGACTTTAAATCAAAGGAAATTGAAGTTTTTGTTTGAAATTTTTCTTATTAATGATTAAAAATTAAAATTCTTGATTACAATTTACATTGATGCTTCTAGGTCATCAATAAATTGTCCTTGACCTAATAGATTGTTAATTGTTTCTAACAATTAATAAATCATCTCTAGCAAGAGTTACCAATCATTTAATAGTAATATTTGTGTATATAAATATTAGCACATAATTAGAATTGGAAAATTATATTATTTCAACTTGATCCATTATCTTGTTAATCAAGTTAATCGAAAATCATTAATCTGATTATATTGCAATCAAAAGAAATGATTCTGATTAATTACATTATGATAATTGTTTCTTAATTAATTGTCTTATGAGATCGAAAAAGTTAAAACTATTATTAAACTTTGATTATATTGATTAAGGAAGAAATCAAGTTAATCAGGATGAAGATGGAAAAATTTTCTAAATAGAGTCACCCAATTAACGGTAAAATTTATTATGATTGTGATTATTTTTAATTGTTGAATAATCAGTTATATATATTGTAAAACATGCGATGATGATGATGATGAGATATTAATTGAAATTAATTATCCTCAATTTTTTTTTCATGATAGAAAACTGTAAATATTATAAATTGTACCAGAATCAGAATAATCAACAGGATTAATTTAAAAATCTCATCATTATGATCACATCACAATCAAGGTTTTCTCACTGATTATCAAATAATAATTATTTTCCTCTCACTTTTATGTTGATTATTGACAGAGTTTTGTTAACCTTAATCATGATTAGTGTGACTCACTTAATCATATCTATCATGTATAATATTAATAATACGAATCAGAAAAAAAAATTCTTTTTATCAGAAAACTTTATCAAAAAAAGTTACGATAACCAAAACTCCTTGGGATATAAATTTCTTGGTAAAATTAACCCTTTTCCTCCTCCTCAACATCATCAGTATCATGAGCTTCTAACGATGAACATGATGCCCACCATGATGGAAAGATTCAGTTTCATCATATGTCCTCCTTTCTGTTGAACAAAATGAAAGGGTTTACTCAGGATAAAAAGAGAAAAAGAAAAAAGTTCTAATCCAGTTTTCTCTCTCTCTTTCCTTCATTTCGTTTGAATTGTCCATTCACAACCATCGACTTTGTATCATCCTCTTAATCTTTGAAATCTCGTCAAGGTTATCATCATGTAGAATCTTGATTAACCATCATGATCAAGCAATAATACAAAAGCTAAATTGATAATTATCTTAATTATTGATTAAGATTACAAGTATAAAAAAAGTAATTTTTCAACGAAAAAAAGAAATCAAATTAAAGGTTGATGACGTTCACCCAATGTTCATGATGATTATCATTGATAATTTAACTGAATGAATCAATTTAAATATAAAACTCTGATATTAAGTGTATTCGGTAAATATTCACCCTGAATATCATGAAATAGACTCGTTGTAAATTGATTGCTTTCTCATTGATTTAATTACGTATCCTTGGAATCGTAGTGTTTGTTTGTCTTGATTGGGATTTGCTTTTTTCTTTCTCACTTTTTGATTATGTTTTTTTATTCAAATGGAATCAAAATTTTAATGAATTTTTTTCTCTCTTTTCTCTGAACTTACTCAGGATTCCGATGATCTCAATGGTATCCGAACTCTATTAGAGTTTAGTGATCAAGTCAAAAAACTGGTTTGCCAAGTGATAAACCGAGAAACAAGCTCAGAATCACAGGCTCGTAAGATTGCAGCCTTCATCGAAGTAAGTTAATTAACTAAATTAACAATTAAATCTCCAATCCTTGAACTAAAAAAGTTTCATTCATTTTCCACCACAGAATCAATCAAATATATATTAACATTATTATTCAGTGATTTCGGCAACTTTACCTGTTTCATTTTCAAGAATTTACTTTGATCCCTTTTGGGCTCATTGTAAACTAATTAGTTATTATTGATTAGCTTTAATTCAGTTATTATTTTACTCTAATCATCCATTTAACTTCCTGAATTAAATTAATAATATTTTGATTGATAGATTTTTGCTAAATTACCTTTACATTAAATACCCTCGACCTTCCGGTTTTCTTGGATTAACAGTTGATCAATTCAAGGGTAGAATAAAAAAACTTTTTTATCGATTCTTAAAATCTTAATTATCTCAACAATTTAACTGTTACAATTAGTTTTTTTTTTGCTGCTTACAATCGGATTAAACACATTCATGACATAATTAATTGAAGGGCAAAATTTGTGTTGATTGTAAGTCTATTTGATTTAATTTCTGCTTAGATACTAATCAGTTAATTGTAGTGTCAGTATAATTTTCTGTTTCATTATTGATACAATTTAGTTACATTTTACCTGTCTAATTATTTAAACGTTTGGTGTATTTTTAATTAGCTAATTATGTCAATTTCTGTCACTTGTATTGTTTGTAACAATCAATAATATAACAAGAGATTGTTAAAACAAAAAAACTTATCAAATAGACAATCAATCAAATTGAATAACATGTAGAGACTTCAATTGAATGGAAATGTCATAACTGTGACAATCATAATCAGCTGAGTGGTTAAATCAGTGATACCTATGATTAGTTGATTCAGTTGACGAATGGTAATACAAATTATTAATCTAATTGTTTGTTAATCGTTTAATCAATCAGGTTGCTTGTGTATTACGGAAACTTAGGAATTGGCATTCACTGGAAGTGATTATCAAAGCATTACAATCGCCGTCAGTTTATTTCCTCGAAATGGCCTGGCTTCAGACCAAGGAACAATTTCCAATCCATTTCAGGTAAGAGAGACGAAATAATTAAGAGATAACAATTAATTAATCCATCATCTAATCCGATCAACTATTAGCTTAAGTAATAAAAGTAATAGACTTTCATCAGATCGCTCAATCAACTTAATTTGATTTGCTTTTGTCTTGACAATCAAAAAACAAGGGACTTTGACTTTGAACTTGGTAAAATTAGTTAATTGTTGACCAATGGTGATAAGGTTCAACATTACTATTAAAATCTAATCTGATTATATTATCATTTAGTTTTAGGTCTTTTTTAATTGTTAATTGTTGTCGTTGAATCAATAAAAAAAAAACTTAGAAATTGAAAAGTTTTTTTCTTCCCTTTCTCTCAATCCAATGAGTTATTAGCTGGTTAAGTGATTAAACTGCTTTTACTGGAGGTCGATTTTAATTGTAACAATTAAGTTTAGAGAAAGAAAAAGTTAATCAACTGAAGAGTGATCAAAAAAAGTACAGGAATTAATTATATATTTAATAGAAAAGTGAAATGAACTGAATTGAACAAATGAAAACCTAAACCACCAAACAAAAAATCAGATTCCTGGTTTGATGTTTTGTCTTGGTTTTCTGGGTTTACCTTTTTATTGATGTAAATTGTCATCAACAATTAGTTAATTGTTGGTGTGCAATAGTTATAACAATCGCAATTTAATCAAAGTGTAGACAAGAAAAACAGACGAAGGCTTCAAATTGTTAATTAACTTGGAAAATTATAAATACGAAAAAAACACCAACACAAAGTAAATAGAAAACTTTTATTACAATTAAATGATTTGATTTCCGTTAGAAAATCAAAGTTATCCCGAAGGATAATTGTTGATTATGATTATCAACAATTAATTAGCATTGGAGGATAGGGTTAAATTGTTTAATTGTTGTTGTCTTTAAATCATAACCATTTTCCGGAGACAGTCGAGGTTGACAATCTTGAAACCGGAATCGGATTAAATCAATGATCTAAACAATTAACTACAATCAAATTCTCAGGCCAAAGCTTAAACTGATATCGATTAGAATGATTTGTAAATTGTAACAATCAATTAGTTTCTCTAAAACCCTTAATTTAATTTTTCTCTCTCTCTCTCTTTTTAATTGTTATTCAGTTGAACAATCAAGTTAATTCATATCCACACAATATCATTTACTTTAAGTTAATCACTCATATTGTGATTTCATTAAATTGTGACCATTAATCTTGATTGTCATATTATTTGGTTTTCTTGTTTAATTGTTATACTTGACATAATATACTAACAATTTAAAATGTTGGTGTTAATTGTTAATAATGATTAATTTGTTCCTTGTAGTTGATTACAATCATAATCAACATGAGATGAATTATTTTTAATTACAATTAACTGTGTGTATGTTTGTCTACATTAAAAAGTGTATTAGTTAATCATGATTAGGAAAAAGGTAAGAAAAAAAAAAGTTGATTAAATTGTGAAAGTGTTGGAACCTTGAACTTCAATTAGGATGATTATGATTAGCTAATTGTTTCGTACAATTTATTCAAAGAAAACATGATTTACCAAAAATGAATGTTAATTGTTGAAAATTGATTGTTGAGTATTTTTCTTACGCTGATGTTTTTACATAATCCATAGTTTTAATTGAATTAATTAGTTAAAGATGATTCAATGATGATGATGATTAAATTAAATGGTTTCTGGTTGTCCAGACTCAGCAATTAATCAGACAATTAACAGTTATCATGATTAAGATGATCAGATATTGAGACGGCCTTTCAAGGTATAGAGTTAATTACATTAGATTAATAATGAACTTGAACTATTTGACTTTGATTGTTGATTAATCAACTTAATTGTTTATAATCATTGCATATGCTACACTCAAAACTATCAGATTATAATAAAAAACAATACAATACAATCAAATATGTTAATTGTTAATTAGTAACAATTTGTTTCCTTTTATTTACTCAGATATTGGATAAGTTTACTGTTAATTGTTATCACAATCAGTTAATCATTAAGCTTTTTTTCATTGATATTAATTGTAAATCTGTCTGTTAATTTATTTCTTTATGATCCAACCTTGACAATGAATTGATTATACAATTTATTAATCATATATAAGATTGGAAACAGGAAATGATTAACTGATTATTTAATAATTTGTCATTAAATAGGAAGTTAATTATAATTATTGAAAGGTAATCACAATTCCAATGATAATAATTAGTTTAAATTGTTGCACAATTATTCAAAGTTTAATCAATGACAAATAATCAATTTAGTAGTAGTAAAAATTTTGTTTCAATTGTAACAATTTAAATCTCATTAATTGTTGCTTCCAGTTAATTAACAAATAGTATTAATAATGAAACAAAATCACAACACTGAAGAATCAAATTAATCTAAATTGTTTCAATTTTCAGGCCATTGAAACAATTAACTTTTTCTTTGCTTTAAACACTTTAATTGTGACCTTTTTCAAGATGAAAAAACAAACGGTTCATATTGATTATGTATCTTACAATTTAAATTGTAATCTTGTAATTAAATTAAATCATGAATGAAAATTAAACTTGATCAATGAGTGAGGTAAAAAAAAACAACTTGAACCTTATCAATGGGTTACAATTTAGTAAAAGGGTTCAATAGTGTGTGTCCATTTTTACCTGACCAGTTAATCAAACAATTAATTATTGTGTTAATCATGTTATTATCAGCTATGCTAAAATAGATACTAATCTCAATTATAATCATGATTATGATAATTATGATTCTGATGCTGATTAGTGTTTAGTGCCCTGAAAAAAAACAGTTTTTTTGTGTGTTGTTGATTTAAAATCAAACTCCTTTGACTTGATAATCAAATATAAAACTGGTTAAGTAATTGATTGCAATTACAATTTAATGATACTGTTGCTAACCGTTGATTTAATCAGTTAATTTATTTGGCTAAATAACAATCAGTGAGCAATTTGTAAAAACAATCAATACATTTACGTAAAAATAAAGGGACACAACATGATTATGTAGTATTACAATTTTCATGTTAAATTATTAACTATTTTCACAATTGATTTGATTGTTGAGAGGGAGAGAGAGAGAGAGAGAGACAATCAAGTAATCAGTTAATGATTAGTGTTTTTAAGTCATTCTAATCATCACAATATCATTTATTGGTAAATGATTTAAATTGAGGTCGAAACTGAATTAACAATGGAGATCGGGAATCACGGAAATCATTGGGATGATTATCGTTTTTTGTTTCTTGTATCAATCATAATAATAATTGATTGTTAATTGTGAACATTAATTTAATCATGTTCATGATCGCTATTAATTAAACATGATTATTACTATGTATTGTTAATTGTTTCAGTTTAATTTGTAAGTCTAATTGAATTTACTTTAGATTGAGTGATTTCCCTTTTCTAGGCCACAAGTTACATTAAATTTTAATCGTAAATGATTGATGATGATTAGTTAACTCTTGATCAGTTCGATAAATTGTTTTATAAAAGTTCTAATTTCGAAAGTTACCTTTTTTGTTCTCTTACAGTGATTTCTTACGATTATGTTCATTGGTCGATCTATGTGATAATTATATCCTTCGAATGCCAACAAATCGACCATCGATTCCAAACTTTAAGAACCTGATTCACTTCTTTCAGATCCAATGTTCAGCTAAAATCGATCTTTGTGAAAACAAGCCCAAGTGGGTCGAACCACCGAGTATAGCTGGTGAGTAAATTATCGACCAATTGTAACAATTAGCAAGAAGAATTGTCTTGAATTCAACTAATTGATAAACTATTGGAAAACTCCAACTTTTTGTTTTCGTTTCATTAGGTTGGCTTAACGATGAACTAGTCGAAGATATTAGAGCATCTATTGGATTAGCGACGATCGGTGACTCTGATTCTGATGGTTTAGTCGAGGCCTCATTAGAACCAGGAAAAACCTCGTTGATTCCTGGTAATGAACCAGTTCGATTCATTGTTCCCTCGACACTTCCATCTCCTTGGATCAATCGTGAACCTCGATCACTTTCGTCTTCACACCGAAAATCAGTGACACTTTTCCTTTTGTCCGCTTTCGTTGAAGAGGTTGAGAATATACGTCGATACAAGATGAGGAAAAGTTCACCTTGATTCGAGAAATAAATAAACAATGATGACAAATTTTTAATTCGAATGACAAACAATCAAATTCGAGTCAATTTCTGATTCGTTTCAAATTGTTACAAGTTTTTTTTTTCTTCTTCTGTTTCTATTGGTATTATTATTATTGGTTTTTTCGGTAAATTTAACGAGGGATTAACAAACAATTTAAGATTAAGGTTATCAAATTAAACGACATCATCATTACCATCATAACAAAATGTTATATAAAATTAAGCTCATCATCATCTAGAATCCAAGGAATCAATTGTACCAAACACGATTGACTTCATATCGAAAACACCTAAGGATAAACTAATTGGCTACAATTTAAAGGACAATCAAGACTTTGGGTAACTCGATTTAAGGACGAGACGGAAGACCAATGCCCACCTTGCGCTTACCATCATCTTATTCACCATCACCATCATCATCATCATAATCATCCAACTATTGTCTTTAATTATCGATATTTAAGTTATTTGGTTAAAAATAATTCGAAATGATTATAATCAGAACTTTTTTCCAACTTTTTTTCTCCCAATTTCTCTTTTAATCATCACCATGTCTCTTACCTTAACTTCTGATTTGTTGTATGAGGTAATTATCTCATAATTGTTGAATTTTTTTCCCTTAACCTTTCCTATGGAGTTTCTAAGGTTTTCCCCCTTCCTTCTGATCAGATTAATTGTCAACAATTAACTCTGATTGTCCAACTTTCCTCTAACTTTTTTTGTTTCTCCTAATCCCAATAACACATTAATATTTAGTCGAGTGACCAAAACAAACAAAAAAACGATATCAAACTAATCATATTAATCTGGATTAACTTTCATGTTTTAATCATTACAATTGTAACAATCAAATTGATTGTCATCCAAAATTTTGTCTCTCGTTAATTAAGAGGCTGGTCTCTTGATTAGAGTAGCAAATTTCATTCTTAATCTTAATTGTTCAACTTTAATCATCTCTTTTTTTAATTTACTTCAAAAACAAGAATATGTTTTTTTTGTTATCGAAAAAAAAATCAAAAAATGTAATTGCAATCAATTTTAATTCAGTTATCATTATTAACTTTTAATTTAATTATTAATCAATAAATGGAACAACTTTTTTCCTTCCGTTTATAACTATTTATTTAATTATCAACAATTTAGCAATTAATCAATTGTGATAAATGTGATTTTTTTTGCAAACAAACCAAATTTAAGTTTAATTAACTTAATCATGTTCCCGTCAACTTAAGACAATTTAAATTGTGATCAAAAATAAAAAGAAACGAAAAACTTTTCAAAATAACAATTAGTTAACTAAATTCACAATGTTTCCTTAATTAATTACCTTAATTCACTGCCTTAATTGTAATCAATTGTACTTCTTGTGTTGATGTTTCTTGTTGGTGATTTAAATATTTTATCAACAAGTTGACTATTTAATTGTGTTAAATTCAGTGAATCTAATTGCTAGTTAATCAAGGTTAAACTATTGGCATGAATATTAATTGAATTGTAATTAGATTTAGGTAATTAAATGCCTAGCAATTGCCAGCGAGTTAATTTAATTGCGATTTGAATAAAATCAAAACCATAATCATCACCATTAAATTGTTTAATTGATCATTATGATGACAATTACAATCAACTGAATCACAATCAAGTCTAAATTAGCAAACAAAAAACTTTCCACTAATTGTGGTTATTAAACCTAGGAATTATTGATTAATTAGCAATTTCAATTGATTGATTTGAGATTTTTAATTGTTAACTTTGATTGTTGATCAACTTCCTTGATAATCAGGAAGCAATAAGAGTTATGGTTAGAATCAGTTAATCAATTGAACTTTTGATTACTATTGATTAATAAAAATAGATCATTAACCTTAACCTAATCGTTATTGGTCAATCAACTTGATTAGGTTAACAATTTACTAAATTTATCAGTAATCAACAATTTGGTTACTTTTAGTGAAAAAATCAACATTAGATTTAAGTAAATGATTAACACTTACTCAAGTTAATTGCCCGAAAATGATAATTAAAATGATTAATTCAATAGATCAGTTAACGTATGAAATAAATTATTAAACCTTTACGCTAATCACAATTAACCTTAGGTCAACAATCAGGTTTTAATCACATCTAATATTTAATTGCGATGAAACTGATACTAAATTAAATGCAATGGCATTAACCTCAACTACCGTTTAATTAACGTTAATTGTTGATTAACTCGGACATCATCTTGATTATCATTAGTAATTAGCTATTCATTGGGTGTTAACAGTTTTGTCCATTCAGTTTGAAATTGAACAAAAAAAAAGCAAATTGATTGTAAACATTGAATCGGATCATGAATGAATTAAATTAGTCAATTAATCAGTGGATAATTACAATAAGGGTGTTTGCTTCAATTGGAAAGTTACCCGAGAAAAGATCAACAATTAGAAACACAATTAACTTAACATGATATTACATTGGCTGAGTTGGAAAAATGTTCTGGGAAAACAATTAGTTAATTTCCCAAAGATTTAGGTAATCACGACAACCATTATAATCTATGTAACAATTTAACTGTGATTACCGGTGAATTGATTGTGTCATTAAATTTTCTAGAGATAATCAATGGTGAAGTTTAATTGTCATTAAACGTTAAACAATTAACGTTCAAAACAGTTGATCGAAAGCTAATCAAAGTTAATTGTCATCTTTTCATTGAACATGAAGAAGCGACAAAATTGTGGTGAAAATGATCAGAAAACAAGTGGAAACCTTGAAGATAAATCGTAATAATTAACTGATTGTCGAATAAATTTGTTCGAAAATATTTTTCTCTACCTGAATTTCCAGGTATCAACAATAATAAAGATGATGAGTTATCACTTTCATTTTATCTGAATCATCATGATAATTATCATGATGATGAGAGAGACAAAAACTGAAACATTTCTTGTCAATTTAATTTCTGCTTACGGCCAATTAAAATACTAAATCACAATCATTGAAGTCAACGAGCTTAACCAGTAATTAACTTAATCACAATTAAGCGAGAAAAAAAAACTTGTCTCACTTGGCGAAAAAATTATTGGTGATAATTTTTTTTTCTTTATAATAATTTTCTGATTATCACCTTGAGAAGGTCGTTTAATTGTAGTTAGTTAATTGTCCTTTTACCTGGAGGCAATTGTTATTTTCAACTCACAGACTTACACATACATTTATTTGTATGGTTAAACTATTGGACTTAATCAAATTAAAATTGAGGATAATTGTAAGATTTAAATGTTGATTAAGATAATCATGTTTAGTCAGTTGTGTTTAATTTAAATAATTAAGGTAATTTGTAAGATTTAATTGTCTTCAAAGTGATTCCCCTTGAGTTTAATTGTTTAAACTTTTTTCTTTCATATTAAATTGAAAACTTATTCAGCTTGATTAAAATTCAGTGATTTATTAACAACGTTTGTAAATCTTATTATTATTAATATCTGATGATGATGATTATGATTATGATTGAACTTAACTAACAATTTAATCATCTAACAATACAATTAACTATTTCTATTAACCCTTTTATTTTCATGTTAGCAATTTAAATAAATTGTTTAAATGGTCGAGTGATGTTTTGATTGTTAATTGACCGTGAAAGTAACTGTAAGTTGATTAAGATTAGAAAGTTAATCAGCAGGGAATCACAATCAAGGTTAAATTGCTGTTTAAATTTTATTCTTATTCTCAATTCATAATTGTTTCTATCTATTTATTGTTATTTTTCAATTGGAATAATTTTCCAATCAAAATTATTAGTTAATTCTAATTGATTTCATGTTAATCAATCCAACTGATGGGTCAAGAATATAAATGGAAACTTTTTATTTTCTTCATTTGATTGATCAGATCTTTTTTTAAATCGCTCATAATCATCATCATCTAATCATCAGAATTAAGCAACAATCAAGTACCAAAAAATTGCGATGATAAATGAAATAAGTGAGAAAGAAACAAGAGAAAATTAAATTCTCATTTTGATTTCATTTGATTCTCTCGGTGAACAATTAACGCGAATGGGTCGCCATCTACTGGTTGATTAACTTACTTTTTCTTTAAAAATCTCGAGAAATTAGATTAACAATTTTAAAGTGAAAATCAATCAGAGGGGAAAATAAGTTTGATCGATAAACATTGATATCAGTTTACTTATTATTAGCTGGCCACTAAACATGATGATCAATCATTGATTATCTTTGATTTACCTTTAATTTAATCATATCCTTGTGGTTTAATCACCCTGAGATTATTTGATTAGGATCAACCTTCTGGCAGTGATTAAGTGACAAAACAACAATATTAACTTACATTTGGAAAACTTGGTAACATTGAGAATGTTGTTATTCCCAAAAACAGAATCAACAAGTGATTTAGTTGATCTTCTTCATTGTTAATGTGACTTTTTTTTCATTTGTTTACAATTAAAAACTAAATTAACTCTACAATTAGTCGATAATGTCGAAAATTTTTCAAAAGATTTCAAAATTATCTCTTTCAGAGTTGATTGAATTTCTTTCTTTCCTCAGGTTGGACATTTATTTTGCTCTTTTCACCCTTGGTTTCATGTCACCAGGTATTCCGACCAGTCAGTTTATCCAAGACAAATATTGTATTAATCAACTTAAATTGGAACCATCGGTTTGTTTAAATTTGGAAAAATTAGATGGACAATATGAGACAATTAAAAACGATGTTTATACATTTTCGACAACATTTAAAAACTATCAATTCTTAATCGCAACTCCACCGGGAATTATCTTGGCCATTTTCATGGGCTATTGGATGGACACTTATCCATCTCATTTGAAGTACCTTTTGGCCCTCCCATGTTTCGGTGGCTGTTTAACTGAACTCATTTCAATCTACAATGTGGTTTATTTTGAATTAGGTAATTATCTTAACTTAATGATGACAACATTTAATCGACCACAATTTACTTTCGTTCTGCAATTAGACATTTACAATCTACTCTGGGTATCACTTCCTAACGGTTTCACCGGTGGTTTTTTCATTGTCATGACTGGTTCATACACTTATATTACCCGACGGACTCCGGCCAAATATCGAGCTGCAAGATTTGCTGTTTTTGAATTGTTCATGTTTACATGTGGGTAATTTACATATGATGATTTACTGATTCGATTTAAAAAGTTTCTCACCTTTTTTCTCAGCAATGACCTTGTCCACGGCTTTGGGTGGTAAGATTTTGACTCTTCGCCCTTGGATAATTGATCAATATCGTAATTACTTGGCAGTGTTTATCGTCGCGTTTGCTTGTAAATTAATCGCCATGATTTGGATTCTACTTTTACTAAATGATGCAGATAAAGCACTCGAAGATCCTAATAGCAGTAAACTCGATTCCAGTGGTGATAAGTTTCAAAAGATTAACAATAGCAACGAACAGTGTAAAGAAGTAGTAAAGATGCTACCAATAAAAGACAACGAGAATAATATTTATCTCGATATCAATGAAGAACAGACAATTGAATTGGAACCATTGAAAGGTGAAAACAACGTGGTTAAATCGTTAGAACTCAGTGTGAAAGAAAAACATGGTAACATGGAAAAACCCACTGGTTGTTTACCAATCATGTTCGATATTTTCAATCCATCAACTTTCACCACCATGATGAAAGTTTGCTGCCGAAAGCGACCAAATAACGGACGAGCAATTATTTGGAATCTAATGTTGGCCATGAACGTGATGTTAATTGGGCACATTGGTGAAGGGACAATCGGGTTTCCTTTTGCTCAGAAAGTTTATCATTGGGATGCTGCTTATTACTCTTATATTAGTTCAGCAGTTATGATGATTCCAACTCTCATCAATTCCATGTTGCCCATTATATTGATTCATAAGTTTCACTTGGCTGACACAACCCTCGCAATTATTGGTTCGATATCGTTGATTTTGTCCCTAACAATTAAAGGTGGAATCCTTGAGTCTCATGCTTTTTTCATCTCAGTTATCGTTGGAATTTCTGGTGGCTTATTACCAATCGCCATTCGATCAATAATTTCCCGAATCATTGACCAATCGGAAGCTGGTCAAGTTTACGCTCTTTTAGCTTGTATTGAATCATCCGGTCCAATGGTCGCATCAGTCGTTTATTCAGCTATTTTCAACTGGACAATTAAGGATTTCCCTGGAATTGTTCATCATTTCGCTGCTTTGACCATGTTCTATCCTTTCATTGTATCTCTTTGGTTGGACTGGACTAAGTCAAATTGGGATCCGACAGCAATTAAGGTCAAGGTAAATATCGGGGAAAACAAGGAAAATGAATTGGAGACAGTCAAATCAACTGAACCGGATAAACTTGATGTCACTCATTGCCCTCAAGCAAAACTTTCTAACGATCAACAAGTTTGAATGTACCCAAAGAACCGCCAGCGGCTATTTAAATTGTTTTTCAAACCATTTTTAGCTAATTTTCAATCGTTGGTCAAGATTAAGCTCATGTAACAAAACAAGTAAAATGCCAAAGTTTAGGCAAAGTTAATTCTTGTCCACTGTAAAAATAATCAATAGTTTTACTAATTAAGTTTTTAAGAAAAATTCTAATGCATTGATCAACTTTAACGTTAAATTTTTTTTATAGTTAATTATTTAAATGATTACCAAAAATCATGTTGTTGATGAAAAATGTTAATTATAAGGATTAAAATAAGTAAAAAATGTTATTTTTGAACATAACAATTAAGCATCGAAAGTATCTCGAATTTTGATCTTTCGATTGGGTTTGAAATAATTGATTTAATGTCGATGGTTCCATTGATTGTCTTAATTATACGGATGATTCTCCAATGATTACGATATCTTTCAAACGCTGTAAACAATTAAGAAAAGGTGATTAGTCAATTTAAAAGTTTTTCGAAAAGTTTTTGTTTAGTTTCGAAGTTTGAAACAAACCTGAATTTCGTCGAGTAGAAACTTTTGTTCATCTGTCATCGATTCGATTGTTGCTTGAAATTTTAATTCCATCTTGTTAATTGTCTCCTTTAAGATTGAATTGTCTCCGATAATTGTTTGCAATTGGAATGATAATTTTTCCAAACTTCATAACCTTTTTAAAGCGTTTCGCGAACAGATCGGTTTCTACCTTCATGGACATGAAGCTGTCTCTCGAAACTCAACAAGTGCTCTTTCAACACAACCATCAGCAACCACGTTATTGTAAAATCTAATAGGAATACTGATTTCTTTTAATCGTAATGAACTTCAAATAAAATGATTAATTAATTAATAATAAATTGTGTTGATAAGAAAAATGTTTTCAATAAATTAAATAGAATTGGTTTTATTTTTGTCAAATTTAAAAAAGGATACAATAATACAGATATACAATATGTACAATATTAATTATTTATTTGCGATTGGAAAAGTGTCTCTTTTTGTGTGCCAAGTGTCCAGAAAAACCATGAAAATTTCCAAATGAATTGTCTTCAGGATGATTATAGAAATGAAAATCATAGTCTCCCCTATGCATATCACCACGTCTCATATGAGGAGGCATTGGAGGTGGATCAGGTGGGTATTGATAAGGTCGTCTCATTGGAGGACCATGAATATATGGAGATCGGTTTGGTGGTAAATTGTAATTTAGGTCCATGTGATGGTGATGGTGATGATCAGGATTATATTGTTCATCCATCTCACACGGTGGAAGTGTCACAGGTTGAGATGTCTTCTCAGACCATTGATCAGCGAAATCTTTTGGAATAGGTTTGGAGAATGGAACTTTTCGCTGTTGTTCACCTTCTTCTGCCAATTTTGATTCAACAGGTGGGAAGATCTCAACAGGTGATTTATCGAAAACCATTTCAGGGAAAATATCTTCACTTTTTTCTTTAGAAATACCTGGTATGGAGTCAGAAAGTTTCATTTCATCACAATATTTAGATTCTTGTGTTTTTTCGTTGAGGTTATATTTATCCACCATTCTATCACCAGGCCGATTTCTTGTCCAAAATTTGCAAGAATGGTCATTAGATCCAGAAGCTAAAATATGCCCTAAAGGGTGCCAGCTTAGCGACCATACAACAGATTCATGAGCTGACTCAATTACACCAATTTCTTTATCAACCCCCACTTCCCAAAATAAAATGGATCCATCCGATCCACCGCTAGCGAAAAGAGACTCGTCAATGGGATGCCAAGTTAAGCAACAAGCTTCTTTTTTATGGCCTCTGAAAACTTGCATTTCTGTTTTGATATTACGTATATCAAAAATTTTGATCAAATGATCTCTCGAAGCGGTTAGAAGCCAATTTCCGTTTTGGTTCCATTTCACGTCCATTACAGTATTTTTATGTGCATGTAAGGTGGCCAAATTGGTGCCAACTCTTGGATCCCATAGCTTAACAGGTTGTTGACTGTCTTTGCTGCCGGAAACAATCAAATCACTATCTGGATGCCAATCGATGGCTTTGACATCAGATCCATGTCCTCGAAGAGTTCTTTCTTCTTTACAAGACAAAAAGTCCCATATCTTTATGGTTCCGTCATCAGAACAGGTGGCAAAGTCAGCTCCTGATGGACTCATGGAAAGGCCTCTGATTGGACTTTCATGCCCATGAAACATTTTAACATTATTCATGTTACTCTGCCAATATTTGATATTACCAGATTGATCAGCGGTTACCATCCACAAATCGTCCATGGACCAAACCATTGCTCGAACAGCAGAATCGTGAGCTTGTAAAATTGTCTCAAAATTGAATGTCAAACCATTCCAAAGAGTGAATTCACCACTTGAGGCACCAGTGACTAAACGTCGACCTTCAGGTGTCCAAATTGTACAAAATATTGGACATCTCATTTTATTGGTTGATGCACGAACAAATTTAGTTGTAACACAGTTAACAGGATTATCACCAAAAGACATCGGAGGTAACAATAGCGGATAATAACCATAATCAGGTTGAATGGCTCTCCTATCATGATGATTTTTAGCTACAATTCTCGTTTCAAGCATATTTATAATTGATGAGTTGTAATCAACTGTTTTTCTCGCGATTGCCTTTCGCAATCGCTTACCATCAAATTCAGTTGCCTGATAAACAGTTGGTAAAAATTCTTTACTCATTTCAGTAAATAAAAACACTATGATGTTTAATAGAACTCAAAATACAACAAACTAAAAAAGTTGCGCTGAGAAAATTTAAAAATTTTGTTTACTATTTGCTGCACATGCGCAATGGAGTCGATTTCGGCTAATGAGTCATTAGCCGCTGGCTAAACAGGTGATAAACTTTTTAGTCGATTAACTTTCTCATTTAAAATAAACTGTTTACTTTTGTTTTAATTTTACTATTTAATCTGTTTAGGTTTTTTTTTCTTTCATGTCAACATGGGCGATGAACCAAACGCCAGTTTAAGAATTGATCAACCCTACAGGTGTGAATATGCTAAAAGTGCTCAAGATTGTTGCCGCAATTGTAAAGGGAAAATCATTTAGGATGAATCACGATTGGAAATGCTTCGGGTGCCACCGCCTGTTTATCTGATTTTGGTGTTGAATATTCGAAATCTGGTAAAGAAACTTGTGTACTTTGTGAATCGAAAATTTCCCTGAATGAAGTCCGAATCTCTAAAACTGATGAAGAATCTGATGCTGCCGTGAGACTTGGTCGAGCTTTACCAAGATTTTTCCATGTTGATTGTTTTGTCTCCGCTCGACAAGAGTTGGGTTTCTTTGATTCTGCTGATAAGTTACCTAATTTTGATGGACTTGAGGCCTCTGATCGACAAATACTCAAGAAAAAGTTACCCAAATTAAGTGGAACCAAACGAAAAGTGGCAGCTGAAACTAATGGCACTAAAGGCCAAAGTGAGCCTAAGAAAAGTAAAGTTGACAAAGCGGACAAAGAACTAGAAAAATCACTTCAAGAACAATCAAATCTGTTGTACAAATACATCGATCAATTGAAAACATTGAAAGCCAATGAGCTCGATGTTCTACTTTTGCACAATAATTATGATCCACCAAAAGATAGAGGACGAAAAGCAGAAGTTGTTGCTGACGCAATGGCGTTTGGTGCCTTAAGTAAATGTCCTGAGTGTAAAACTGGTCAGCTGTATTTCCGTATTGCTGGTTACATTTGCAGTGGAATGGTTTCTGATTGTGTCAAGTGTGTCTACGAAACTGTAAAACCAGCTCGTAAACCATTCAAAGTGCCTACTGAATACAAAGAAATCTACGAATTTTTGGCTAAATACAAGTATAAACCTCGAGTCCGAGTTATGGGTAAAGTTCAAGGGCCAGTCGACGCAGTGGACATAGCTAAAGTGGCATCATCATCAAATGGAAATGATAATGAAAGTGAACATAAAATTGATCCATCGAAGCCATTAAAAGATCATAAGATCGTCATATTTGGCAAACTTGGTAAACCATTGAAAGACTACAAGAAAGCAATCACAGATTTGGGTGGTTCAGTTGTTACCAATTTCGATCGAACAGTTTTATTCGGTATCACCAATGACAAAGAAATCGATAAAGGATCGGATAAGGTTGAACAATCTGAACAGAATAACGTGATCCTGGTTAACGAGAAAGTGATCGAGGAAATGAAGAAAGCAAATATTGAAGATATTCCATCGGTTATTGTCAAGCATGGATTAAGTGAATGGGGAGCTCAAGATGTTGCTAAAAGATTCGTTAATCTGGTCAACAAGAGTAAAGTTAAATCATTTAAATCAGGTAATTGTTGTTTTCCTTTTCCTCCTGTTCCAATTGTACTTTTATATTCCTTGCATGATATACCGCCAAGTATCATGAGTTAATCCATACATGGTCACTAACATGCTAAGAATAACAATTTGTTTATCTCTTGATATTCTGCAGCCAGAATATTAGATGAAAATCAGATGCCCATTAATTTGAATAAGGATTTATTCATTTTTTACAAGGTCTCTGAATCGCTCCACCAGAAGCACCAGTTACTGGTTACATGTTTGGAAAGGGTGTTTACTTTGCCGATATGGCCACTAAAAGTGCCAACTATTGTCATCCACGAAGTAACAACAACACTGGTATACTTGCCTTATGTGAAGTGGCACTTGGTGAAATGTAAGTTCTGATTGAATAGAAATAATTTCTACTTGATTGTCAATACAATTACAATTAGAGTCTTGAATTATTTATTTACTTTTTCTTTTCTTTCTTTTCTTTAGGCTGGAACTTACTCAAGCTGATTTCATCACTGATCTTCCAAAAGGAAAACACAGTGTTAAGGGTGTCGGTAAAACGGCTCCAGACCCAAAGAAGTCTAAAACTATCGATGAAGGTGTTATCGTTCCTTGTGGACCTGGAAAACCAACCGGCGTTAAAGACACTTCTTTACTTTACAATGAATTCATTGTCTATGATGTGAACCAAATAAAAATTCGATATCTATTGATGGTCGAATTTGATAACAAACTATTCTAAACTCAAGATCACCACCGTAACTGACCAAAAGAAAAACTTGGTAACATTGAGAATGTTGTTATTCCCAAAAACAGAATCAACAAGTGATTTAGTTGATCTTCTTGATTGTTAATGTGACTTTTTTTCATTTGTTTACAATTAAAAACTAAATTAACTCTACAATTAGTCGATAATGTCGAAAATTTTCAAAAAGATTTCAAAATTATCTCTTTCAGAGTTGATTGAATTTCTTTCTTTCCTCAGGTTGGACATTTATTTTGCTCTTTTCACCCTTGGTTTCATGTCACCAGGTATTCCGACCAGTCAGTTTATCCAAGACAAATATTGTATTAATCAACTTAAATTGGAACCATCGATTTGTTTAAATTTGGAAAAATTAGATGGACAATATGAGACAATTAAAAACGATGTTTATACATTTTCGAGCTGCAAGATTTGCTGTTAGCGGCTATTCAAATTTTTTTTTCAAACCATTTTTAGCTAATTTTCAATCGTTGGTCAAGATTAAGCTCATGTAACAAAACAAGTAAAATGCCAAAGTTTAGGCAAAGTTAATTCTTGTCCACTGTAAAAATAATCAATAGTTTTACTAATTAAGTTTTTAAGAAAAATTCTAATGCATTGATCAACTTTAACGTTAAATTTTTTTTTTATAGTTAATTATTTAAATGATTACCAAAAATCATGTTGTTGATGAAAAATGTTAATTATAAGGATTAAAATAAGTAAAAAATGTTATTTTTGAACATAACAATTAAGCATCGAAAGTATCTCGAATTTTGATCTTTCGATTGGGTTTGAAATAATTGATTTAATGTCGATGGTTCCATTGATTGTCTTAATTATACGGATGATTCTCCAATGATTACGATATCTTTCAAACGCTGCAAACAATTAAGAAAAGGTGATTAGTCAATTTAAAAGTTTTTCGAAAAGTTTTTGTTTAGTTTCGAAGTTTGAAACAAACCTGAATTTCGTCGAGTAGAAACTTTTGTTCATCTGTCATCGATTCGATTGTTGCTTGAAATTTTAATTCCATCTTGTTAATTGTCTCCTTTAAGATTGAATTGTCTCCGATAATTGTTTGCAATTGGAATGATAATTTTTCCAAACTTCGTTTTAATGTTTTATTTTCTTCATTCAATTCCTTTACTACGGTCAGTGTATCATTAACTCGTAATTTAAGGTCATCCTTAATTCAATTGTGGAAATAATAGTTGAATAGACTATTAGAATTTAGTTTAATTACAAGTTTGATTAACTTACTGAGTAATTATCATTTCTACTTGAGAAATATTTAACTATTGGATCGACATGAATTTTCCAGATTGATTCATGTTGTTCAATTTCATCTTTGGTTCCCTTTGATTTGGAGAGAGAGAGAGAAAAGTTGATTAATCAATAATCGTAATTGATTATCTAAATTACAATTAACTTACCACAAATTTACATCCCATTGGTGTTAATCTACAGGTTCTTGGTTTACCTGGACAAATGTCATAGTGTTTCCTCAAATCTCCAAAGGCCATTTTACGCTTACAATAGGTACAAATTGTAGGTCGACGGGAACAATTAGATTCGTGATCTTTTTTTGATTGTAATGGAATATCATCTTCACAGAATGAGCAACTAATTGTTCGTCTTGGACACTCCATTGCCATATGAGATGGAAGCTTTTTAATTACGATTCCCTCTCCACACTTAAGTGGACAGTTAATTACCCCATAGACACAAGTTCTCATGTGATCCTAACAGAAACAAAAAGAGAGACAAGAAAATTCAATATTAGTCAATGTTAACTAAATATCACAATAGTTAGTTAATTGTCAGAATAGATTTCGACACTAATTAGCTTACTTTTAAATCTCTCAAGCGACAGGTCTTTTTACAACCACGACTTCGATATGAACAGTAAACATCTTTATCCAAAATGGTCTCAGAATCCAATCGATCCTCAGTAAACTAGAAATTTCAATGATCAAAAGAAAACATTTCCACCAACAATTAGAAAGAAATTAAAAAGAAAGAAAGAAAAATGTAAACAAAATCAAAGAATCACATTGAAAATGATGAAATATTTATCCAATTTAAGTTTAATTCAACTTTAGATTGTTGAACAAATTACCTATTTAATCACTAATCAAATTCACTGGATAATAAGAAACAGTTTCTAATTGTCATCAGAAAATAAAGTAAATATCAAATGATTTTCAGAGAGAATAGAAGAGAACAAGAAAAAACAAAGTTCCATGAAATGGATGCCACAGAACAAAACAATCGAATATAATTAATTAACATTCTACGAGACTAATTAAATTAGATGAATAACAATTAAAACACTAATCCAATTAGAGAATCGAGTTGAATGTGTAAACAATTTGGTCCATATGTTTGGTAACCATGGAAACGTAAACGCCCATCGAGTGTTGAGTCACTTGTTGATTAATTTTTCTGTTGTTAACTAGATTAACTTGAACCTCTTATTGTTTCATTTACTTGTTGCTGTTAATTGTTGTTTATCACAATTAGACCAATTTATGGATTTAATGTTTTCCTCCTTTTTCCACTTGCAATCTATTGCCATGTATCCAATGTTTACTGTTGTTTAGAGGAAGATTAATTCAATCTCATTCTTCAAGTGGTCTCACCCTAAAAGTTTTTTCTCTCTCTCTCTCTCTCTCTGTTTATCTCTCTGTAAACTTTTCTATTCTCATTTTATCATCATTTATTTCCTCATCTATTTAAAAGGTAAGAGTTTACTTGCTAATTGTTAATGTTATTCTGTTGTTTAGTTTGATTGTTTTTCTCTTTTGTTTTTCCTCAGAATTATTGGAATCCAATTGAAAGATGAATCTTTCCCGGACAAGTTCCCATTCAAGTCTTCGGAATCACCATCACCATTGTAATGGTGCTTGTAGTGAAAGTGATGTAGATGGTATCAGAAGGGAAGATATTGCCACTAGTTTGGAACATTTATTCAACAATGGAAAAGCAATTTGTATCATTTGCTGGTTACAATCATGGAAAATTCTTGAAGGTCTTGCCCTGGCGATTGCCCTTTGTCTTCAAAGCTTTTTTCTTGATTATTATATCATTTACTATAGTAGAGGAGCCGTTGGCTGGTATTTTCTATTTCTAATTGATGTTATGATCATGGTTTTGTTCATCATCGCCATTGTAATGGCTAAAAGACATTATTCCAGTTGGATGATGCAAAAACAACCTTCCGCTGGTGGTGGTGGTGATCCAACAGTCTCAACAATTAACATCAATACCTATGGTTCTCTGTGCCCTCAGGCAAGAACAGGCCAACAACTTTTCGGTACCAGGTTACCCCGTACAATGGGTGTTCTACCCTTAAGTTATATCTCTTGGTTTCTCTATTCAATTGTTTTGGTTTTCAAAATTTTCATCTTCTTCACCAACGATGTTCTAATCAAAATGACCTCTGGCGATGATACTGCTCGATTTGGATCTAAATTGTTTGAAGTTGCTCTCGCCTGTACTGCTCTAATCTTTTTACTCTGGATTGAAGTTCATAAAAATTTGGAAGATGAAGTTCACCGTAGCTGGTCAAAGACATTAACAGATGAACTTATCGGCCATACAACCTTTGAAATTTTCGATCTCATCTTTTTCCTTGAACTAGTTACACCCGATATCGACCCGATAACCAAACAAGTTATCCATTTACCTCATATATCTAAACCACTGATCTACACCATAGTTGCCTTAGGATCTCTTAACGTTGTCTATCCAACTCTTGGTATTTATCAACTTTCAAAGTTACATAAGAAAAGTCAAGCAGAGGAAACAGTTATCCGAAATCATCCAGAGAGACACATTTATGGTACCAATGTATTTGTCCATTTCATCCGTCTTTTCAACGTTAATATCCCTTATTTGTTTATTCGTATTCACCTTGCCGCTGCCTATGATCGATCCCTTTCAATTTTCATCGTGAAAAATGTTCTAGGAATAATCATCTCTCTGAGAAGTTTAATTCTTGAATATCTTTTATGGAGAAGCCATGCCAAAGCTAAAGCCAAGCGATTATCATCCAATGCCAATAAAAGGACAGTTCGAATAGCCGAACCCGATGAGACAACACAATCTATCCCTAAATCAGGATGGGACATGTCAATGGTCAATGAAACGGCTCTTAAAAGTACACCAAAACCTAACGGAGATCGACCTCCAATCCTACGTTTCAACAATGAAACCATTGAAATTAACTTTACACCACATCGAGATTCTCGGACCACTGACCAACATGAAGATAATTTAACCTCTGACCCTCTAAGATTATAACGAAACGTTACTATTTTTCATATTCAGACTTTTCATCTCATTTATATCAACATTTGAATTATTATTAGTTAAATTATCCATGACAAAAGCACAAACTTCAATTGTCATGACTGATTCTCTCAATTGACACTTCCTTTTTTCATTACAATCCCTTGTAAGATCATTCACATAATATTTCCTTAATTAGTGATCTAATTAATGTTGTAAAATCAATATCACGATCACTTCCATTCATCTATTCATCATCATCATCAACATATACATAATGTTATAAATACTAAAAAAGTGTAATAATTAATAAACGATAATAATGATAATCATAATTATCATCGTAAATGTAACTCAATCAATCACTAATTACGGATAAACTGATTGTTCTGATTGTAATAATTTTTGCTGATGTTGAATTTTACCAAACAAAGAAATCAAAATCTACTCAAACAATCAATATGATTGATGTTCAACAATTAAATTTAATCACACAAAATATTACCCTCATTAAATGAAAATGGTTGATAAATAATATCCTTATGTTACAAGTGTTTAGATTGTAGAGTAATTAATTAAGATGATTGCAGATTAGATGGATGATTAATTCTCAACAATTAATATTTTCCATTTTGTTTTAAATGATCACAATTAATGGACAATTTTCAATACCTAATTGTCTAATTGGATCAATCTAATGGATTCGATAACTTTTACCGAATCAAGTTTTTCACATGTTTAATTAATCTGGTAAAGATTAACCGTTAGATTAAATTAACTCACCTCTTTTTTGGGAACAATTAACGAGTCGATTGGACACTTTAAGAGTCGACCATCAGATGAGATTGAATTAAAACATGGATTACAAAACTTATGACCACACCTTGGACGTGAAGGTGGATTAAGAGATGAATCTTCAAATCCATTTTCTGTTAATTTAAATGGAGCTGATGTTTTAACAATCAATTTAACTAATAGTCCACATTGGTCACATTTGAAATTTTCGGGATAAAGATCAACAAACTGGACACGATCAATTGAAACTCCATCAAAACCAGCCAATGTCTCCATGATTTTCAAACAATTAACAACACTAATTAAAACTGTGGCAAACAATACACTAATACATTAATCAAAATGATTCGGTAAACATTTCTATGATTTCATAACTCGCAAAACAATTAAGTGATTGATTAAATCGATAGTAACCATTGATGATGATTAAGTCGACACTGAATTAACAGAAATTGATTATCCAAAACTTTTAGATATCAGGGTGATATTTGATTTAGAAAATCAAAAATGATGAACAAATTAACGGTAAATTTAATTGTTGCTGAAAATAAATAGACATTAAAATAATGCTTCATTTACAATCGTAGTTAATAAGACTCACAATTGAATTGGTGATCAGATTGTCAATGTAATAAAATTAAGACAAATTGATAAAATCCAAGGGAAACCTCGTTATCAATTAAATTGTCTCTCTTACAGTTAATAACATGATTACTTTAATCATTACGATAAATGTAGGACATTTGGTGATATATAAAAGGGGAAATTGTCATGTTGATGGTTTATTGTGATTAAGATTAACGAGAATGAAGCCTAATAAGAAACGGTATTAAATTCATAAAGGAATCAATAATCAATAAGGTGTTAACAAATTAGATCATTTTATTTCATTAATAATAAAGATGAAAGATATAATCTAATCATAAGTAAATATAATGATAGTAAACAGAGGAATAGATGAAAAGTTATTGGAGTAAAATTGAGAAAGAAAAAGATTGATGATTATAATTGAATTTCATGATTGGAATAACGGTAATTGGGATTTTTTTTCGTGTTCTACTCGAGAATTGGATTGATTATTTTTTCGATTTTTTATCCTTTTTATCCTTTGGGTCAGGTTTTTTCTCTTCTTCACCATCATCACCCTCTTCACTTTCTTCCGGTTTTGGTGCTGCTTTTCCACCTTTACCACTTTTTCCTCGGCCACGAGAACCACCTCGACCTCGACCACGAGAGGAAGTACCACCGCGAGTTTTGCCACTTTTACCTTTAGATTTGAAAATTTCATCATCTTCCGCGAATTCATCTTCATTACTATCTATTGAACCGGTGTCCTTTTTCTGTTTTTTGGCATTTGGACTGGCACTTCGACTTCGGCTTCGACCTTTTTTACCTTTTTTCTTTTTTGAACTTGATGAAGCGATGGATGCATCATCATCTTCATCATCTGATGAACCAGAATCGTAAAATTTACCTTGACCCTCAGGGGGATTGGACATATTAGCAGGGTCAATACTTCCATCGAATTCAGACTCATCACTTGATTCATTTTCGGCTTTGGATTTACCTTTGCCCTTACCTTTACTTTTACCTCCTTCCTTATCTTTGCCCTTTTCGTTTCCAACAACTCGAACCATTTTCACAGAGCAAAAAATCCAATTAAACTTACAGTTAATTAAACACAACCAACTGTATAATTAAACTAAAACACAACCAATCACCCACAAAGGACAGGGATTAGTTAACAGTTTGGCTTAACTGTTTTTCTATTGTTGAGATACTTTAAGACAATTGTTAATTTGCTCTTTCTCTATTATTGTAATTTAATTTGATTTTTCAATTGTTGAAAAAATGAATTAATGACAACAATTAAATTGTGACAAAACAATGACTAGCTTTTAATGGGTCTCTTACATAAGCTAAATCATGGCCGATGAAATGGGTTCGGATAAAACTCATGCAAATGTATCACACTGGTGTGGACTCTCTTACGACCAAAGGCTGAATCAATAATCAAAAACACTATGATAATTTGTCCAAGTAGTTTGGTACTCGATAAACAAATGGTTGAATGGACGGTTAAATGCTTACGCTGTTGATAACGGTTCTAAAGAAGATGTCGACACAAATTTAAGAATGTTCATCAATCCAAGTGGTCTACGTTGTGTGATTCTAGTTTAGATATTTTCGTATAAAAGTTTTGTCTTCATACTAATTCTCTTTAGTGAAATGGGTCTGACACTTTGTGATGAAGGTCATCAATTGAAAAACATGGAAAAGTCAAACTTATACTACCTTGAACACTTCAAACTCTAAAAGAAGTGTCCTCTTGTCGGGTACACCGATTCAAAACGATCTATTGGAATATTTCAATTTGGTTCGTTTCGTCAATCAAGATATTTTTGGAACAGCTCAAGACTTCAAAAAGAAATATGAGAATCCAATTCTTCGTGGCCATGATGCCACAACTTCAGAAAAAGATAATGAACTGGGTAAAGAGAGATTGGAAGAACTAATTTCGTTTGTGCAAAAATGTATGATACATTGTACATGATACAATGTATGGTAGACATTATTTTGATTTACTTTCGAAAATCGAACTTATCGTTGTTGTTGCTTTTCATGTCTACAAGAAAATCTCTACAAAAATTCATTGAATCGAAAACTGTCTTTAACCTCAGCAATAAGGAAGCTAAAGGAAGTGCCAATTCCTCTCTCAAATAATAATAATGATAATGCTCTGATTCTCTATTCACCACCAGAATATAATGAACATGATAAACTCAAAACGAAGTCTAAAGGGCTCCATCACTGAATATTGATAGTATTCTCAATTAGATCGATAGATTTATTTCCCAATGAACAATTGCAACACAGTTGAAAATTTTATTTCGATTTTCTATTTCTCAGATTAACGAAAATCATTTATTTATTTATTTCGCAATAATATATTACTCAAGATATTCAAATTTACTATTGAATTGATTGATAAATTGTTGTCACTCTTTCTGAGCTAATGATATACTAATGTAATACTGCCGGAAGTTCATTCGCTTTGAGTGTATAATTTAATATTTGCATGGATAATTCATCTGATTTTTTTAATGCTATCGGTAATTATGATGATTGATTTAATAAATAAAAAAGATATTGAAAGACGATTAGTTTAAAAATCAATATGATGTTGGTTGTAGATTTTTCTCAAGATTTCAGTCCAATTGAATTGATATTTTGGAATTGAAAAATTCAAGTATAAATATCTTTCTAATCTGAATCTAGTTGAGCTTGAATATAAAGTTCTAAATGAAAATGATCTTCAATAAGATCAATCAGCTTGTCAATAGATTTGCAAAACATTATGGACCAGAGGATTTAGATGATGCGTTCAAGAGACTTGAATCGATTGAGAAATCAACGTTCATCGTTAAAAGATCAACAACTAATAAAAATCATCGATTAATTTGTTATCTTATAGTTATTATAAATCTAATTTTAACTGTTCGCTCTGTAATCCTTATTGTAACGGATAATAAAACGGTTCAGTTTATCCTTGGCGATTTTTTAGTTTCCTTCGAAGCCCGAGCATTTGTTAATTTTATCTATTTCTTAATTGCCTGTGTATTAATACCATTCAACATTTATAATATTATTCTCAACAATTTCGTTAAAGAGCCATTCGTAAACCAACTAGTGAGCTATTTAAAGGGAAGGCAATCTTCAAGGAGAGAACTACATCTTTCAGATCATTATGATAATCTAATTCTGACCTGGTATATCAAGGGAATCAGATTCTATGTATTTTACAGCAGATTTGCAATATCTATTAACCTTTTCTCTAATCTAGTAATCATTGCGACAAAGACGAAAGATGCAAACACTTTTTGTTTACAGTTATTTTTCATTTGCATAATTTATTATTTTGCACATTTTGCTTTATACAGTTCGAGGTGGGTTTTCTTACATTGGTTTCTGACAGTACTTTTTACTTATTGTCGATTAGCTTCATTAACGACCATTTTTGATAATCGATTGAGATTCACTAAAGTTCAGAAAGTTTGGCTCTTCGAACTTCAAAAGCTCAATAATTGGATGGATTCTTTTAATCATCAAATTTATTTACCTACTTTACACTTTTTCTCGTTCATTTCCATTTCGGCTGTTCTGTTAATCTACTCTGGTTCACAATACACTTTCAATAATATTGTGATAAATATTTTGATACGAGTGTATTCAATCACTGGACCATGCACTATCCTTTTCTATTGTTATCTATGTTCGTTTATTGCTAGAAAAGTTTGTATTACCTTAGAAAGATTCTTAGAAATTTATTAGTTGATGTTTCAATTTTCATCTACAGGGGAAGATAATTCATTCAATGGTCTACAATCTATCGACTGGTAAATGTCAAGACATTTCCTTGATGCTAAAGGTAAAAGCTTCTTGTTGATGGTTATTCAAATTTCTTATATACAAAGTTTATTATAATTCAGAGGCTTGAAGTTTTGGAACGATTATCATATCGAAACCTTGGTTTATACTTAAATGGAGATATTTTGATCTGTAATAATTTCTCTTTAATCGTAAGTATCGATACGAGCATTTGAAATTATATCCATTCCTCTGATGGGTCAATGATTCTGGTCATTTAAAGATTTCTTTTCTTTTTATTAATAGTTCTTATTGGAATGTACTGGAATATATCTACTCATGTGTTCCACCATAGGTGTATGAGAAAATTTCATCATGGTATCGAAACCTTGGTTTCTCCTAAATGACCATAAACAATATAACCATAAGAATTGAAAATTCTCGTTCATTGAAGTGAAATTATTATTTTATATTGTCAGTTTGCTGTTATAAGAATAACTTTAATATTTCCTTATAGACTCAGAACAATAATGAAATGTGACTCCGACAACGTGATTATTCAAATAAATTCAATAATAACAATCATAATCATTTTCCTTAGACCATTAATTTATAGTTAATTCTCAATGATGATAAAAAGCACGAGAATTCTCAATAATATTGAGAGTTACAGCATTTCTCAGTGACTTTCGCCGAGTTCCCAACTAATTAGCCGAGTTCTCATTTGGTTTAGTCAATCCGATAGATGGCACATTTTTTCACGATGAGTTTTCATTGACTTTCGTAAGTTCCCAATTCATTTGGTCAAGTTCCCGATGAGTTTAGTCAATTAGCCTTTACATTGAGTAAAAAATTAAACTTTTTCATTTAAATTCATTTTTAATTATTTTTTCAACTTTTAATTTGATTATTAGCATAAATCTTCGGCATTTATTGTTGAGATTCGATCAATTTTTGAATATGATTAATTTTATCTCTTCTCCAAGGTATTTGCATCTTTTTTCTTTATGCACCATATTCAAAAATTGATCGAATCTCAACAATAAATGCCGAAGATTTATGCTAATAATCAAATTAAAAGTTGAAAAAATAATTAAAAATGAATTTAAATGAAAAAGTTTAATTTTTTACTCAATGTAAAGGCTAATTGACTAAACTCATCGGGAACTTGACCAAATGAATTGGGAACTTACGAAAGTCAATGAAAACTCATCGTGAAAAAATGTGCCATCTATCGGATTGACTAAACCAAATGAGAACTCGGCTAATTAGTTGGGAACTCGGCGAAAGTCACTGAGAAATGCTGTAATAATTAAACAAAGTTATATTAATTTGCAGAAAATGTAATTGAAAGTTAATTGCTTGAGTGATTGAAAACATGCAAGGTTTGATAACCAATATTGTTAATTTATCTCCCTTGCTCAACTCTCGTTAATGGACAGAAATCTTTTCGAGCTCTTAAATTTAAAGCTCGAATTGTCAGATTTGATAATTTATCAACTAATCCAAAATATAAACACGAGTTTGAACCGTTTTTTAATCAAAGTAATAGTTTCTTGAGCATTTGGATTCTTGAAAACAAAACTTATCAAAGATAAAAATAAAAAATCCGGAATAAGTTAACATGGGAACTCCATTGAATAATATTTGTCATAAAATATTCTAGTGAAATCATCACAAGGTCAGAAAACTTTTAGGTAAGATGAGCGTTAATGCTTGGCGGTCGAACCAATGGTTATTCAACAAACTTATCGTCGGTTTCCATTAGTTCAAAGTGTTAAAATTAAGCTGGATTTTGGGTTAATTGTGCGCCCGTTTGATTGTCTCAGGCCATCCGGTCCTTCCTCTGTCGATTTTGACCCTTTTAATGAAGACCTAACCTAACCTAATTTGCACAAACACAGGGATAAGTGTGTTGGATAGCTATAGGCTCCACCTCCAACCATTAACGCTCATCTTACCAACTTTTATTTTCGAGCTACAAAAATTCAGCAATTGGCGTGATTCATTTAATCGTCAAATAAAAATTCGTAATTTGTTCATTTTTACATATTGGTCTTTTTTCACTATTGTTGTTGTCTACTATGGTTCACAACACAATTTCTTTAATACTGCGCAAAATTTTATGTATCGAGCAGGAAATGTTTGGCTGTCGTTGGTCCTTTCATTATTCTGAGTAGTTAAAAAATGGAGGCTCTGGCACAGAAAGAGAAAAAGAAAGAGAATGAGAAAGAGAAAGAGAAAATAAAAAGAAAGAGAAAAGAAAGAGAAAAGAAAGAGAAAAAAAAAGAGAACCAGAACCCGAATAAAAGTTCAAAAGAAATAAAAACTTTTATTAAAGTTTAATCTTTCTTTCGATTTTGTCGACAAAATTTTCAATGAATTTTCTGGCCTCAAGCAGATGAATTTTTAAATTTAAAATTTCATCTTCATCAATTTATGGTGATGATTGTGATGAAGAAGAAGATGATTTAGATGAAGATGAAAATGAGCAAAAAGATGATTTTGATTCTGATGGTAGTGGTGATTTAGATGGAGATTTAGATGGAGATTTTGATGGCGATGATCTTGTTTGTGATCTTGTTATTGATCTTGATGGTGATGATTGTGAGGAAGAAAAAGATGAAGACGACTCTGATGGTGATGATGATTTAGATGGAGATGAAGATGAAGAAAAAGATGAAGATAATTCTGATGTTGATGATTGCGATGATAGAGAAGACGGTGGTGATGATTGTGATGATGAAAACGATAATGATGCCGATTCTGATGATGGAGAAAAAGATGAAGTTGATGAAAACGACGAAGATGAACAAGATGAAATTGAAGATGGTGAATTTGATGATGGAGAAGAAGATAAAGATTAGGAAAATGATGAAGGTGAATAAGATGAAGATGATTTAGATGATGGAGATAATGATGATGGTAATGATTTAGATGATGATGATAAAATGTTTTTTGATGATGATGATGACGAGGTTAACAATTTTTGATTCTCATCCTGTTGGATGAGAATCTCGTCCAAATCACTTGACGAAGTCTCGAAATCCACACGATTTCGAGCCTCTTCACAATTTTGATCATCGAAAAGATGATCAAAATCGTCAGGGACGATCGGCTTCGATGATGGTGGTGAAATGGGCTCAACTATGAGCCCATATGGATCAACTCGGGGAACTTGGGGAACAGGGAGATCATCAAGATCGAGTTGGGGGAGGGAAACAACTAAATTTTAATAATTTTAAATTTCTTTCTTAGAGATTTCTCTAACTCTCTCTCTCTCTAACTTTAAAATTAATCTAAAATTTTTCCCTCCCGTATGTTTTTTCTTTTCTCGCCTGTTTCGACCCATTCTCACATCTTATTCACTTTGAACATTGCCCTTCGCTATTTATACCCAAATTGAACATTGCCCGAGTGACCTAACGAAATTCCTATTTATCCATGAGAATTTATTTTTGACCTCAAGTTATTATTTATCTTGACAGTTTGGCCCAATTTCAAGTAATTTAAATTGCTTTTGACCCTAGATTTAATTGTTAGTGCGAATTTAATTTTCACACGAGGTCAAGACGTCAATGTAATTGATGATTTTGTTTACGAACAAAGTTCGTGACCGGACAATGCCTTTTTCTATTGAATGCTAAAGGAATAAACTATATTTAATATATTAATGTATTAATAGTGCATCTATATTAGTTAATTGTGACCTTAATTGTTAATTCTTCTTCTTTTAACTTCTTCTCCATATGCCAATACATAACCCATACCAGTTTTAGGTTGAGGTCATTTATAGGTCAAAAGTTATTCAAAAAAGGTCAAGATGGCCGACCAAGAAATGAGAGCGGTGATTAGAAATTATTTTTTAAACGGTTCAACTATAGCGAAATGTAAAGAGGAAATGGACAAACTTTATGGTGGTCGATCACCTAGTGCTAGTAGTATAAAATGGTGGTTTCAAAAATTCAAACTTGGACGGACCGACTTGAGTGATAGGCTAAAACCTGGAGCCGCTCAACAAATTGATATTCCGTCTTTGGGACACTCTGTATTGAAGGCCATCAAAGGCGATAGAAAAACTTCCTTGCGTGAATTATCAGGACAGTTTAAGGTTGGATATAGTACCATTCATAAGGTTGTTAAGGACCATTTAGGCCTAAAAAAGCTAACTACCGTTGCCGTTCCTCATAATTTATCCGATGCAAATAAGGAAGAAAGGGTTAAGTGTTCAACGGAGATGTTGAGTAAGTACAGTGTGTTTGGAAAGTCCCTCCGGATGTTTGAATGAGAACTGCGGAGAATCGGAATTTTTTAGAGGTTTCAAACAAATTTATTTAGGAAGAGGGAAGTTCAAATTAGGGTTAGACAACATTTTCAAAATGTTGACCTTCGACAGAAACTAGCATTTCAAGTCGCTTTACAAAGTTATTGGATATGCGAAGCAGAAGGTCTTGATCTAATTGTTTTGATAAATAAGTGATTCTATTTTTGAGCTCCGTCAAACTTTTGGGATTGGAAGTTAATATTTTATCTTTAAGCATGCCCCAAAGAGAAAAATCACATGGATTTAAGTCCGGACTCCGTGGTGGCCACATGATTTCTTCACCTTCATCTGTTGCGAAACAAAGTCCGATTATTCTCTGATCAAAATGGCTTCTTATGAAAGATTTTATAAAAATGGCATTCATCAGAAAACCATATTTGATGCGGATCAATCAACCCATTTACGATCATTTCTTGCATATGTTCAGCGAAGGACATCCTCTTCTCAAAATCTTGAAGCAGCTGAACCATCTGAATTTTGTATGCTTTGAACTCTAAATCTTTGTGAAGAATATTGTGGACCGACCACGGAGAAATGCCAAATTTCGCTGCACACTTTCTTATTGATGGAGCACTTGTTCTTCTGAAAAACTCCTTAACCTTTTGCATATTTTCCTCTGTATGAACAGCTGTTGGTCTCCCTGTTCTCGCGGCTTGGTTATCGTGAATGGAGCTAGTTTGAAGAAATTTCTCATATAGAGCTTTGATTGTTTTATCAGTCGGTGCATTTACCTGTGGATACTCTTCTTTGAATCTTCTGATAACTTCAGCTGCATTTCGGGTAGAATGGTATTCCAAAATAACAAAAGTTTTGCATTTCACTTCAATGGAGGGAGTAGTTTCCATATTAAAAAGAATTTTTATCACAAACAAGAGAAGTAAGCGGAAGTAAGAGTCTGGGCCTTTTGCAAATTAAAGACAAAAGTTCAAAGTAACTAAAACACTTGAACAAAATTAATTTAACCCAAATGGTTTCGAAATAGCACTATCACAAAGTAAAAATACTGTTTTCCAAACTTTTATGAATATTGAAAAAACCGGAAACGGAAATGTGGAAACACAGAAGTCTAAATTAGACTCATAGCAATAAAGCACTTCTATAAAATTTTCGTTCACAGCGCCCTGTGTTTTGAGTAATTCCACAACAAACATCCGGAGGGACTTTCCAAACACACTGTAACGCACAACGCTAAGCCAGGACCATTTATGAAGTATCTTTTCACAATGGATGAAACTTAGATACCTCTCTATGACCCTTTGTCTCGAACTGAGTCAATGGAATGGGCCAGTGACCGGTCAGAGGTCAGTCAAAGGCCAACATCGAGCCAGAGAGACAAAAAGGCAATGGCCTGTGTTTATTGGGATGGCCAAGGCATCATAAAGATTTTTTGGCTTAATGATAGAGAACAGCCAACGGCGATGTTTATCGATCGCAACTCGTCTAAATTGACTCACTGGTTCGTGCCCGTCATCGTTCAAATAAGCTAACTCCATTGTTTCCTCAAGACAATGCAAGACCTCATAAGGCGGCGCTTACTATGGACAAAATAAAGAAATTGGGTTGGACTACGTTGACGCATCCTCCGTATTCTCAAAACTTAGCCCCAAGCGACTATTTTTTGTTCTCAAACTTGAAAAGATTTACCCGAGGCCAAAAATTTTCGACCTTGAATGAGATGAAGACCACAGTTGAGCGATTTTTTGATTCGAAGTCCCCATCATGGTATGCGGGCGGAATTGAGGGAACGGAATTGCCCACTCGTTGGCAAAAGTGTATTGATGCCCGAGGCGAATACTTTACTTATAATTAAAAAAAAATTGTTTTCATAATAAGGCTAATCATCAACAGATCATACTAAAATATTTAATGCTTTTCGAAGGTAAAAAATTGTTTCCTATGGCTAGAATACCCATATTATCATCATTATGAACCAAATAAATAGTTAGAATGTAATTATTTTTTTGTGCCAATTTTGTCCAAAATGCATTTTATTGATTAAATAAGTTTAAATTTTATAATGAATGTGATAATACATACAGTTGCTTATCACAAAAAGAGATAAATTGAGGCAAAAGATTAAAATAAATGATTAGAGCGTAACATCATCAAGATTATAATAATAATTGATAAATAAGTGATGTGTTTGCTTACACAGAAATTGATTAAATGAAAACCTTGGTGATGACATAGTCGGCGACTTCGGTAATACGAGCTTGCATTTCATCATCGACTTTAACTCCGTAGATGTCACCAAGTTTAGCCGGTTCAAACGGATTGTTGAATGATGGAATATTGAAAAAACCAATCAATCCAATACATTTTACGGAGATCGGGTTTCGTAAAGTTTCCGTTATTATTCTCGAGGTCCTTTAGACCATCACTGCCTTTTAGACTTTTCTAACAAATTTATCAATCTGGCCAGGTTTACCTTCACCAAGTTTGATGATTGTTTCCATTATGATGGGATGATTCGATAAAGTCAAGCAACCACAGTTATCTGGAGGTTGAGAATGGTTTTTTATCACTCTTTTGTCGAGTGAATTCATATTTACCATTTGTGGCTTACCAGTGAGTAGTAAACCAGTATTATAACAAATTTTATAATAATCAGAATCATCATATGATCAGAATATAATGTACCATCTCAAATGTAAGAGTGATCAATTTAAAAGAAATTTGTTAAATTTCTTATTGTTCCAATGAACTTTTGCACAGTTTAACGTAATTGAATAACTGATTCGGGAATAATTAACTGTTCGCAAATCATTTGAGCAATTCAAGATCCGTGATTTATCCGGTAATAATCATTACTAAAGTTGAAAATTACAACACTGACATTTTTCAATGATACTGGTACCAACAGCAATTGAGCGATTATATGACAATCCAGGTCTTTGAGTAATTCGTCCCGTTGGTAGTTCAATCTGTAAATATGTAGGAACGACAACTTTATCTTGAGGTTTTATCATACATGATTTAGCAGCGTGAAGAATGAGACCAATATCTTTTAATGAATCTCTCCTTGGGATGGCTTTGTCTGAAAGTGATTTGATCTTGATCATCTTCGATATAAAGTTGATAAAAATAAATAAATTAACAACAAAATGTATTCCGTTTATTTGAAACATCCCTTTACGATGGTCATTTCAGGACCAACGGGAAGTGGAAAAACAATGTGGGTCAAACAAATGATAAATTCTTCTAAAACAACAAGTAATCAACCACCTAAAATAATATACTACTTTTATGGAGAATATCAAGCAGTTTTTTCAGAGTTGGAAAATGTGAATTTCATTCAAGGTTTACCTGAGGATCATATAAGTAAATTGGGAGGAAAAAATGAACCAACTTGGATAATTATAGATGATTTAATGAATGAGTCAACAAACAGTCAATTGATTGCAAATTTGTTTACCAAAGGAAGTCATCATCGTAATTCATCAGTAATTTTACTTGCTCAAAACTTTTTTGCTAAAGGTAAAGAAATGAGAAAGATAACATTCAATTCGCATTATATTGTCATGTTTAAAAACTCAAGAGATAAAAGTTTAGCAAGTAATTTTGGACATCAAATATATACAAATAAGACTAAATTATTTCACAAGATATTCAACGATGCAACGATTGCCCCATATTCATATTTTTTGAAAATTTTAAACCAGATACACAGAGGAAATACGATTAATGTCCAATATTTCACTCACTTCACCAATAACTGTTTATTCTATATAAAGTATTTTTGATTGATTCGTCAAATAAAAATGGGTCTAAAAGGATGTATCGAATGTTTACCATTACTTGACTGCCATCAATTGCTATTAGTGTGAACTAAAGCATTTCTAGCATCATCTATGGGTTAAAAGTCACGAAAAATAAAACTGCACCGATCTTTACCAAAAATGACCTTGACAATTATTTCGACCTTGAAACATATCCTGGTCAAATTGCAAGTTGATCTGTGTAGTCTGTCATTACATATATACAAATAACAGTTTTGACTATTTTTGACCTAGGATAAGTATTGTTTACTATATGTTTACTGTTTAAATATTGTATAATATCGAATTCGACTAAAAGTTGCTATATAAGATGTTCATTATAAACTGATATGTGAAAAAATTTCATCATCTAAGCTCCTCCCACTTTCATTTAATCCTAATTTTCGCGAAGTTGAAACGTCCCATAGACTCTTTAAGGATTTTTGAGTCTGTGAATGTCTATAACTCCGCCCATCGAGGTTTAGTAAAAAATAATTTTGTACACATTTGTAGACAATCATGGGAGCTATACACAGAAAATTTCAAGACGATTTGAAAGGGGAGTATAGTAAAGTCTTACCGAAAAGTTATGATTCATTAAATGAAAAAGGATAAAGATTTTTATGGTGTATTCCCACAAAATCGCTTACCTTATGTCTTGTTACCTAAACCATTCAAAATCATTGCCAATTTAGATGAATCATGGAAAGATGGAAGTCATTGGGTTTCTATTTTTTCTCAGAAAAATGGATTGACAGTCTATTTTGACTCATTCGGAAGACCACCAGCATATTGAAACTTTTATCGAAAGAAATAGCCCTAATGGATGGTATTACACGGAAAATAAATTAAAAGGGGATTTAAGTACGTTATTTAGATTTTACTGTATAATGTTTCTTGAATATTGTCCAAAGGTTACATTGTTTTTTGATAAATTTCGCAATTGTTCAGATAACAAATGATTACAAATTGATTAAATACGTTTAATAATTTGAATACCTTCCATTTCTTTTTGACAAACAATTTCTTGGGGACCGTGTTTTTTTGTGGATAAAATTTTCTAGGATAGAAATGTAATTGTATAACCCTTGATTAATTGAAATGACGTCTGCTGCTCTGGCTATATTATGGTTCAACTTTCTAATTGTTGCATCTCTAGAAAAGACTTTAACTCGTAATTCTTTATTTTCTGCTTTTATCTCATCATTCTTTGCAGTAAAAATTGAAAAAGTCTCTCAAGTTTTGCGTTTCGTTCAACAAGTAAAGCGTTTTTCAGAAACTTTACGGTGAACCACTTCGAGAGCTAATGCTAATCGTGAATATTGACATTCATCAGGACATTTAAGACAAGTAGTTGAATAAACTGTATCATTTTCAAGCAACATTCTGTTTAAAAAATATGTATATCAATTAGTATTAATCGAGTTTTCTTTTCTTGGTAAGACGTTCCATATCGACATAAAAAGGAGCTGTATTTGTTTGAATGAAATCTTCCAACAATGAAATATATTTGAAGAGATTCTCAATAGTTTGGTAAGATGGAGCAAACTTTTCTCTATGGT